GCCTACATTGGCACTGCCACATTTTGGAGCGAAGACAAAGAGATGAAACAACCTCTTGTCCTTGTTCCCTCTGATGAAGATCATGGCCAAGAAAAGAGAATTTTTAATTATAAAAAGAAAATGATATTATAGTTAGTGGTTCCAGTGATAATGAAACCATTAAAAAAATTGACAGATATATATCATAAATGTATGACTTTTAAATTGATCTGGTGAGAACAAATGTGAAAGTTCGCACACATTTTTACCAATTGTCTAGAAAATCCAAGGATTTTTGAAATTCAAAATACCTGCTGCTTGGAGAATTATGTTTTAATTAAGCTCTACTAAAGTATGGGTTCATACTCATTGGGCACGCCAAACCAAAAAAAGAGATTCTAAAACTTTTGATCCATAACTAGTATTGCTTATTCTAGTAATTTCCAAGCTCACACTCTTGGCACAGTATCCCTCAACCAGTATATCAAACGAAGATGTCTTTAATAGAAGCAATTGTGCCGATTACTGCCAAACAAATCCCCATTAATAACATGGCTAGAAGTCCAATCATATGTGCTCTCCTATGTGAATACTTAAATATCTTCATGTAGAAAACCATTGGCAAGATCACTCCTAGTAGCATATCAAGGGAGGAGCCAACAAACTCGATAATACTAGCAAATTTAGGAAGCCCCAAATCACAAGTGCTGTAAATGAGCTCACTAAAACTCTTGCAATTGTGGACATGAGGGTCTTTGGCTGAATATTAAGTTTCTTTGCAATAATTTCATAAACATCTAATGTGATAGGATGCATAAGAAGTGGAAATTTAGAAACTGGAATGATAAAAGATACCCAGCCAGCAAGCCTGAAATCACACACAATACAGTTTAGAAATATTAGTGTAATAAAAGGAGTAAACACAAACTAACCTGGAAGCAAGAAAATGTCTTGGTAAATTTTGAGTGATCAAAGGGGCTGTAGAGAACCCAAACATGAAACTTCCCAATAATTGAAAGAGTAAAAATATAATTGTGAACACTCCAAATGCAATTGAGAGTACCTGGAAAAAGCTATGAACATTAAAACCAAGAAAATAAAATTACACGCCAGTGTGAAAGATGTTTGGTTTTGCATTGAATAATAGATACTTGGATAAATTGGAGCCAACCCATAACCAAAAGAATAAATGCCAATGAACTTTGATATCTTTGAAGCTTGAACAAATGGAATTTGAGATTTGAATCCAATCCCATCATAAAACCCAATGTAAGCTGTTGACAGCATGACAAATAAGAGGCTAAGTGTATAGCAAAGAGAAAAGAAAGAAATTACAGACAGCTTCTCGAACCAAGTTGTAGGCACAATAACCACCATAACTACAAGTGTAGCAAGTTCTCTTGCATTAAGCAAACTAAAGTGGCATGATTTTAAAAACTTTGTGATAAATCCCCCACTGCAACCAAGAATCCCAGAAGTGTGCATAGTACCTATGACATTGCATACATCCTACCATCAGGAGCACTCCATGCTAATATAATAGTCCAATGCCAATGCACATCCCAACCCCAACATAGCCAGAAGTAACCATGGTGTATGGGCTAGCTAAGGTTGATACACCTAATAAAAAAGAGATCAAATAAAAAAAAAAGAAAATATCAAACATACCAAATAAGACAATGAGGGAATTCTACATCACTTGCCAGAAAGTAGAGTATAATTTAATAATACATTATATTATAAATAAAGAACTATTTAGCCCCAAATAGAAGCTCACATATGTTATTAACACATATTCAATCACACACTTGATATAAAAGAAACAAAAACCAACACTCAAGATGGATTATTTGAGTCTCACTCACTTCCAATGCCATCAAATACCTCAAACATGTCAGACTTGTTAAAAGATTTTACTTCACCTTCAGCTAGATGAAGAGTATATAGTCAAATGGGGCTTTTCATAATTATCCTCTAAAAAACCATAGAGGTCAATTTTGAGGTCAAACTATGGGATTGGGGGGGGAGGAGGGTGACAAAGGTGGGATCAATGAAATTAGAGTTTAATTTTGTGCAGTTTAGATCAAGGAAACTAGAGTCTAGTTCTGTGCAACTCAAATCTGTGCCACTCACTCCACAAACACATGCTCCCAATCTGTAATGGTGGTGAACTTTGCACTTTGTCTATGGTCCTCAACCTTATCTCTTCCATGTGATTGCATCTACCAAAGTGAGGGACTTGTGTTGATCATGAGATTAATGGAGGTACACCACCCTTGCTTGATCTCCATCCATATTGTGCTTATAGTTTCCTAGAGATATAAAAAGCCCCTGAAGATGTATAGTCCTGGATCCCATAGTGCGGTGAACTGAGGAAGAATATACAATCTTCAATAATGGTGATGCTACTGCTGCCTAAAAGTCCTCTCCTCACTACTATATGACTCCAATTGGGATTGTTATTTCCAGCTTCCCATAAGACCATGCAAGTGTAGTGCCACCATGCCAGTCCCACAGCCTCATACCAATATAGTTGTACCCTTGGTGCCATCCATCTAGAATCATAACCAAAGGTGAGCTGCTCCTCTCGGATCCGGGTTGAAGTTACACTTCCGCACTCCAACAAACTAGCTTAATACAGCTTCTGACACAAGCCATACCCCTCGAAACATCCTATACATCTAAATGGTGGTGCTCCAAATGCCTTGATCATGGTGAATTCACAACCAACACAAGAAAGGAATTGGCCAACACAGCCGTACTATACAAACTGAGACTTCAGTGTGCTGTCGAAAAGTGTTCCATTGCTAATTGGAACTAAGTGTGCAATCAGAGGGTAGGAAAGTGTTGTTGTGCAATTTGAAGGACCCGGTAGCATATTGGACAATAGTGTCCTTTGCATGTCAAATCGAGCAATTGTAATGGCACTAAGTGAGTCGTCCCCTCCTTAGGTGGAGCTTGGCTCTTCAGATCCCAAGTGAATGAGATGAAGTTCTATGCAGCTAGTATTCTTGGAACAAGTCTTAGCAACTGTGGACCCAAAAACCCTAAACTTAAACCATATTTTGAACTTTGAGCATTTGGATCTCATTCGCAAACCATTGGATTGCCATGAAGTCTTTTTGTCCCACCATTGCAATCAGCGAAAAAATACTTAGTTCAGCCACTGCCACAATCCCTAGGTCGTCCATACCTTAGCCATCGCCAAAGATATGGTTGCTTTGATCTCCTAATTCCTAGTTCCAAATCGCTTGTTCTTGGACTCAAAATGATTGTGGGGACGTGCTCTCTCCAGCCGTGAAAGGAGATCATGGAAAATTTAGGTGGGGAGCTAGCAGTGACTAAAAGAATATTCTCAATGCTTTCTCACTCATGGAACATATAAATCCATTGAAACCAAAGCATGGCTTGCTCTTAAAATCATCCTTATTGCTCTACTAGTGTTACTCTGACTCTAGATTAAGCTTGGAAGTGGTGCTCCTCTTCTCACTAAACTTAGGGTTTTGAAAAAGTATATATAGTGCCACTTCACCTTTAGAATCAGATGGCATGTCAATGAATTGTTGACATTCAAAAGCTCAATATCTTTTGGTTTCTGACTTGTCAATTTATACTACTATGTATTATTTGAAATTTAGCCTGTCAATTCTTTATCTAAGCTAAATTATTTTATATTAACTTATAGTATAGTTATTTTAATACAGTTTTATTATATTTTTAGGCCTAGATATTATTTATAGTTTTTATAATATAATCAGATATTTCTAAGTAGTCGTGCCTTTTTTTCTTTTTCCCCTTTGTTACTTGTGTTAGGTCTAGCGTTCGTGGCCAGTGCGAGGGCTGGCCTGTGGCTAAGGGCCAGACTGAGCGCCACAGACCTACTGGCTTGCAAATGTGCACAGTGCCCAAGCCATTAAATGTGTTTTGTGAAGATGGTTTTTTGTTTTCTTTTGGGTATCACGGGATGAAATGAAGCTATATGGAGGGAAACATGAAGCAAGCCCAACTTTTCAACTAAGGTAAGAGTTGTATGCTTTTTTTCTAATTCTAAGAAACTAATACATTATTTTTCAGGTGTGGAATGAACTGGGAGAGAAGAACAAAGGCACATTTGATCTTGTACTATTTGTAGTTTTAAAATTAACTTTTCTTGTTTCTCAAGTGCTTTGATCTAGTGTGTCTGAGACCAATCCAGTGTCTAAGATCCAATCCAGTAGGCTGCTTAAAGTTTTATTATAAAATCTCTACAAAAGACTGAGCATTGCTAGTTTTGGTGTAGTTTTGGTTTTGTTTTATAGTAGGCAAATGGGGTGCCTAGTGAGGGGAGAAACAGGCACCTGCAGCCAAAGTATATTAACCTCAACATGCTGCAGAGGTCTCTTAAAGTTTACAAGGAGTGAACTCCCCAGGGCTAGGCAGAGCACAACAACGTGGAATCGCGGAGCATCAGCGAGGCGAGGTAACTCAGTGGCAGCAATCTTGCTGTAAGAGGAAAGCTGGGAGCGGCCAAGAACGAGCCAGATGAGCTAGGAGAAGGAGTAACTAGGCGGTGACATGTGGCTCCATTCTGCAACACGTGGATCAAACACTATGTGCCCTCACCTCCACTCCAGGGGCCCGGACTGGATATGGGTGTGATCACTGCCGGCACAGTTACATGCTTTTAGACATAAGAGTGTCAAAAACTATGGCACATGGTATCCCACCACGTTGTTTGGCATTGCCACCTTTTAGAGCACGAAGACAATGAGGTGATGCTCTAAGCATTTATATGTCTACAGGAGAGAACAACACATTCAAAGGCGGAGTATCAGGCATGACAAGAGGCCATGAATAGGAGTGCAAACGCTAAGCAAATTTTTTTAAAGAAAAACAATATTGATATCATGGTGTTCGGCATCAGTCTCAGAGTCTAGAAGCCACAATGTCATGACTTCTAGACGAATAAAATTCTCTAGATGTGTCACTTGAAATAACAATTGTCCAACAGATCCAATTATTTTTAGCAGGAAATCAGAGTTTTAGAATTGTGTTATAAGCTCTTCAAAGGTGGCAATTGCAATGGGATTCACAGGAACTGAGACAAAAATCCCATCGGAACTAAGCGGGAGGAACGTGATATGAAAGTTTCGTGGATCCATTGGGAACTCCACTCGTAACGGCTTTCCCCCACCAAAGTCAAGCTCCAGGGACTTTCGCATCAGCCTCGGCCAAGCGTTGATCGTCGTCTCACATGGCTGGTACCAGAAGTTGGGATTGAGATGGAGAAAATCTCGTGCAGAACGAACGTACTCATTTGTCAATCGCTTTTTCGCCTCCTGGATTTGAGCAACGATGGAGGAGAGTGGGAGCTCACTTAGATCCGCGAGTGAGAGCTCGGCATGCGCTAGATATATCGAATTCCCGCAGAAGTTCTCACCCAATGGAGGATCCAGAATGTTCCTCGTGTCAACTGCGAATCCAACGTGAAGAACATCGCTGCTGGATTTCCCTGGGATCGATCGAGCATGGGATCGCCAAATCAGAGCTGCCAGAGCCTCGAAAGTGGAGCACTCGCTCAAGATTCCTTCGTCCAGAACAGCTTGCTTGAGCTTGCGGAGCTTGTCAAACGTGAAGAGAAAGGTCTTCCTCTCAATTTTTGGAGCCGTTTTCCTCTTCGATTCGGAGCTAATCACAGACTCCTCGGTGAGAGTGTAGATACTGTGGCCACCATTGAGAGGTATCTGTTTAGCAAGCTCTTTGTGCTCGAAGCTCACACGCGGTGGATCCCGGTATTTAAGTTGAGTCCGGTCGCCATTTGGTATCATATAGAGACCGTCTCCCCGGTTGATGGATGCAAAGTTGAGCAGGAAATTGATACCAGAGGTTGCATCAACCAAAGCGTGGTGGAACAATATTGACATTGCGCAGCCACCGTCAAGCAAACGAGTTACCTGTAGGCAAATTCCTCAAGAAACAGACTGTAAATTTGTGTTCATACCTGGATACTCAATAGTGGAAGATCTTCCAAGGTTTTAATCTTGCAATCTTCAATAAAGAAGAAGTCATCAAAGTCATCAGCCGTCACTTGGTCCAAGCTAAGATCACACGTTGCAAGCGTGAAAAAAGCTCCCTGGTTTCTACAGCTGATCTCCATACGCCCATTTTCATTGAAGTGCAGCCTTCCAGCCCAGAAATCATATGAACCCAATACCTCAGCCACAGATGATTTGAGACGATCCACATCCAAAGTCTTAGTTTCTGGCCCATAGAAGAAGATACTTCTCACATAGAATCCCAGCTTTTGATCCGCATCACACAGATACATTATGCGGTTAGGGCCTGGATTCCTTGCAACAACACATGAAACACTGCAAACTTTCACCATGCCTGGAGCCATGTATGTATTGTTTGAGAGAAATTATCTTAAAGACTGCTTCTTGAAAGCTGAGGTTCGCTGATATCCCTTGCTCTTATGTAAATCCGTTCTAGCAATAGAAAGACGGCAGCAAATGACAAACAAACGTGTTGGACAAGGCTTGGACGGCAGTGGTTGTCTCCATTTTGAGGATTCAAAGATTCTCAGTCAACCCTATCCTATTGAAAACAGCCGTCACCTTCCTGTTTCAAAATCACGTAAAGATCAAGAAATTGAAAGTAGTTTTTTGAAAAGAAGACGTCAGCATTGAATGTTCCAATTTCTAAAGAACAGATGAAGAACTTAACGTGGATATTTTTCTTCATTATTTTGTTGTGTGTTTGTTTTGTTTGTTATTGGTCAATTGGTCATCACATCAGTTCGATCCTCGATGAAGCCACAACCATGAGTGTCAGACAAGAGAAAGAATGTTGCACCTTTCCAGCTGGAAGGAACTCGAAATTGTTCCTTGAAAGTTTACGAAGAGAACACTACAACCATGAGTCAAATCCCCCTGCTGCTTTCGAAATCATCCACCACCCTGCCAATCTAAACATTCTTTAAGAGAAGAATGGAAACGCTCCTACGAAACAAAAGACCGTTAGTTTAAAACTGCAGCTCTCGAGGACACAATGAAGGAAAATACGACCCCTGAGCATAGCTTTCAAAGCAAACCTAGATTCGGCAGAAATTAAGGAAGAAGAACAGCATTATAATTGTTACTTTATAAACAAGAGAGAGAGAGAGAGAGAGAGAGAGAGAGAGAAGATTCTACTTAACCTCAAGCCAGCCTCAAGCTTTGAGCGAGCTATAACAAACGAGATAGTGGGAGTCCACTGGGCTTTCTGGCGCGGAAACCGACATGCGGAGAGGCGCACTCGCTGATGCTATGATCTTGCTGAGAGCCACCATACGAGAACACAGGCCAATTCTCTCTCCATCCATTCCAGTAAATTTCCTGTTCGGTCGCGAGTCCCCGTCTTACGACGCCACCAGCTTCTTCCCAGCAATTCCTTCCTGTCTATGCCGGTGACGTTTCGTCGGACGTACTGCCTTCGACGGCCTCCACGGGGTATACAAGCCTGGTCATCTGGACGAGGACTTTAAAAAGGTGGTGCTGATGCTAACCAATCAGCTCTGCCAGTGGGGACAGCAGGGAGAAGGATTATTGTAAAGTAGAAACATGATGTTAATGTGCATTGGCTGACACTACGTACCTTCTTCATTTGCTTTCAAATAGTCACTGAAAAGGAAGACAAGTTAGGATGATCAATAAACCGGTTTTGAACAGCTACAAGCGCATGTTGCTGGCTAGCTTGAGCAAAGCCTCTGTGCCCAGCGTTTGAACATAATATTTTCGAATGTTTTATTTTTGCTATCAAGCCAAGATGTCTTTAATAGAAGCAATTGTGCCAGTTACTGCCAAACAAATCCCCACTAACAACATGATTACAAGTCCAACCATGTGTGCTCTTGGTAGTGTAAACTGATAGATCTTCATATAGAAAACTATTGGCAAAATCACTCCTAGAAGCATGTCAATGGATGACCCAACAAACTCGATAATACCAGCAAATTTAGGAAGTCCCAGCGCAATAGCCATAATTACGAGAGTAGTAAAAGAGCTCACAACAACTCTTATCAATATAGACACGAGGCTCTTTGGCTGAATAGTGAATTTCCTTGCAATAATTTCATGGATATCCGATGTTATAGGATGCATAAGAAGTGGAAATTTAGAAACTGGAATAACAAAAGATACCCAGCTAGCAAGCCTGAAACCACATACTATATAATCTAAAAAGACTAATATAAAAAATCTAATGAACTAACCTTGAAGCCAGCAAATGACTTGGTAAGTTTTGAGTGATCAAAGGGGCTGTAGTGAACCCAAACATAAAGCTTCCCAATAATCCAAAGAGTAAAAATACAGCTGTGAACACTCCAAATGCAATTGAGAGTACCTGAAAAGAAATGCAACACTTCCATGGATATTGGTAAAAGAAATTACGCACCAGTGTGAAAGATCCTTGGTTTCTCATTGAATAATAGATGCTTGGATAAATTGGAGCTGATCCATAGCCAAAAGAATAAATTCCAATGGACTTTGATATCTGTGAAGTTCGAACAAGTGGAATTCGGGCTTTGAATCCAACCCCACCAAAGAACCCGATGTAAATGGTCAATACCATGACAAATAAGAGCCCAAGTGTACAACACAACGAGAAAAAGGAGACTGTAGATAACTTCTCGAACCAAGTCGCAGGAACGATAACCACCATAGCAACAAATGTTGCAAACTCTCTTGTGTTTAGTAACCCAAAGTGATGCACATGAGTCGGAATACTTTGTGCTAAATCCCCCACTGCAATCAGAAATCCCAAAAGCGTGCATAATGTTTCCAAGTAGAAAAGTAAGCTTGTGATTAATCGCCCCCATCTGGGAAATGCTGTGGAAGCAATCAGAGTGTAACGGGAGATATCTCCACTATATTGCATGCATCCTATCATCAGGAGCACTCCACACCAATAAAATAATCCAATGCCAATGCAAATGCCAACCCCAACATAGCCAGAAGTAACCATGCTGTATGGGCTAGCCAAGGTTGATACACCTGATCAAAACGAGCTAATAAAAACCCAAAGAGAAAAAGAAAAAGAAATCAATATACCAAATAACACAATGAAAGAATTCCACATCGCTTGCCAGAAAGTAGAATTGCCAGTGTGTTCTTGATGATCTGCCATTAGCTTTGCTCTTTTCAGCATTTGTATATTAGGGTTTATACTGCATTGTTCTAAGGGCCAACCAGAAATGGAATGTTCGAATCTTTTTGTATAGCGTTTTTGTGAAAAATTAATCGTAATTTACACTCCAGTAGCTCCATTAGCTCTTGCTGCCACCGCGCTCTCGCCCCCGGCTCTTATGGACAAGGGGCTCATACTCCTCGAGCCTCCAGAGATCACCATCTCCCTGTCAAGAAACACCACCGCCACAGTTATATCGTCGTGGAAATGCCGCCTCACGCCGCGCTCGATGCGTATCAAGTCCAAGTATCTCATCTCTCGTTTCCTGGCCGCCTCTTGCAACGCAGCCTTGATCAGTCGCCTCGCGATCCCCTGGAAAACAAACCGTTCAGTCCAGCTCTAGTTTGAGTCGCACCAAAAAACGAGCAAAGAGAAGGAAAGCTTACTGCTCGAGGATGGCTGTATACAATGTCTACGGCTTCCTGGCTGGACAAGTGCTCCCACAGCCCGTCCGACGCGAATATCAAAAACTGGTCCGCTGGTCTGAGGGTGAAGACACTGATCGATGGTTCCGCAGTCAGCACAGGCCTCTCTAGTGGCTGTGGAAGGCGAAACCGAGCGATAAGTGGCTCCCTGTTAAATTCCGCTTTCTTTAGATACACATCACCGATGGACTTGGTCACCTGCGGGATCAAGCAAAAACTAGGATTAGAAACACTCTCCCGAGCTACCAAGTTGAGGACTTACCTGGATTATCCCTTTGACACGCCAGACTCCATGCCTGAGAACGACAATGTGTGAGTCGTCTGGATGTAAGTCCTTGAGCTCCTGACGCACGGCATCTATGCTGGCATTGTGCTCAGCAGAGAGCTGAATCGCTGTGATCCTGTTATCCCGTCCCAGGAAAGTTCCCATGACCGCCCTCGAATCGCCCAAGTTGGCGACAAACAGTTGGTTCCCTCGTATCAACCCGACGAGGCAGCACGATCCAACCGTCGCGATCTGTGGTCTTAATGCCCAGGAGCCAGCGACGTATCTCTCGAAACCATCCTCGGTTGACAAGATCGCTCTTCGCAAAACATCGCTCGTGAAGTCACCCTCCTGCGAAGCAAGCCCTGGAAGAAGAGGAGTAAGAGACTACCATACAGCAAAAGAATCGAGCACACACTTTGCAAGTTTTGCCAGAGATGGTTGTTGATATACTGAGCCGCCTCCGGGCCGCCGTGTCCATCGTAGACGCCAACGAAAGTTTTGCCAGGCCCGGTCTCGATCTGGGTGTGATCCTCGAGTATGGAGTTCGCCTGTACTACAGCTATGGAGAAGTCGCCAAATGCGTGCTTCCCAATGTCGTGGAACCAGAGGAGAGCATCGTTGCGACTGGGAACCGTGGCGCCGATATGGACATACTGCTCAACGCGTCTCCAGCATCCTACTACCATCTTCGACAGTCGTGCCAGCATCCCTCATTTCATCACAAAAATTCCACGCGTCCCACAAACCTGTGCATTCTTCCTCGTCTTTATCCCTCCATCGGTCAGCCAACCTCGTTTAGCACGGCGCCCTGGAAACCATGGAGGCAGCAGTCCGCCGGATTGCTCAGCATATCAATCGCGAGTCGCGCGAATGGCAAGAAATGCCCCGATCGACGGATCGGAGAGCGGAGGACCGGAAATGGAGCTGGGTAGCCGCTTGCCGCAGCTAGAATTCGAGGAAGAAGCCCAAGAAACCCTAAGAGAAACCCTAGGAGAGGAGGGGCACCCAACGAGGCGAGAATTCCAATGGCGATCCACACAGAATGGAGGAACCACCGAGGACGCCCCGAGCTGCTGGAGGCCAAGAAGAAGAAACGAATGGATTCCCCTCTCCTCCACTCCACTGTTCCTCGCGAGCGCCTTTCACAGGGCAAAATGAGAAGACCTAAAAACCCACACACACGCGCTTATATCTTTAAAAGTCGCCATTGGCGGGCCACGTAAGCTAATGGAATCTCTCGGCATATCTTCCCATGAGTTCGAGAATCTTTTCATCTCGCGGGTCCCGTACTAAATTAGAACGATTCCGAGCATATGCTGCCTGACGTGGCAAGGGATATTCGTTTGCGAGAAGCCCTAGAACGTCAAGGGTTTCGGGATCCTTGCGGCTCGGGCGCGTAGGTTCTAGGATTGCGATCTAGGAATGAGTTCTTCCGCAGCTCCGGATCAAGAGGAGGCACAGAGCAAGGCGGCGGCGGCAGCGGCAGCGGTGGCGGCGGAGGTAGAGCAGGGCTCGTCGCCGGAGGTAAACGATGCGGTGGGAAGTGAGAGCGGAGCGGCGGCTCAAATTCAAGCCGAGGACAGCGGCAATGGCCAGGTTGAGGCCGCGGATGGGAATTCTCGGGATGGCGTGTCGGTAGAGAATGGGGGGAAGGAGGAGGGCGTGGTTTGTCTGGAATCTCCGGGGCCCCTCTCGGACATGGAGAAGAAGCAGCGGCGCGCCGAGCGCTTTGGCGTGGGCTTGAATTTCAGCGAGGATGAGAAGCGCAAATTGCGAGCTTCAAGGTAAGAAAGAGCTCACATCCTTTTTGTTTCTTTGCATTCCAGGCTAATATCTTGGCTTGCAGGTTTAACGCCAGTGATAAGAAAGGTGTGTCGAAAGCTAAAGTTTCGATTGAATCAGAGACGGAGAAGAAGAATGCCCGGGCTGCGAGGTTTGGAACCGCCAATGTTGCGAGCGCCAACGAAGACGCCAAGAAAAGGGCCCGGCTTGATCGATTCTCTGGAGTAGATTCCAACTTAGAAGCCGAGAAGAAGAAGGCAAGAGCTGCGAGGTACGTTGTGCTCGCTTCGAGTTTTTCCATTTTTTCTCTTCTGTGGCTCACTGCTCTTTGTTGGCACAGGTTTGCGGCGACATCAAACGAGGAAAATCTGAAGAAGAAGCTGGGAACCGACACGACTCCGGTGGCTACTGCAGCGCAGGGATAGACGCTAACAATCCGGATGGACGCTGACAGGAGCTTATGGGTAAGAGCTTACTGATGCATCTTCGCATCGTCGTCACAAGGTCCTTAGTTTACTGCATTCTTGGGTGAATTTTTTGCCTGTTTGACTGCTTGTTTGCTTCTATTGGCGTAGAGCTTGTAGAGCTTGTAGTGTTCTTTTCGTGTAATGTATAAACAGGTGTTCTTCGTTACTCCCACAACTGTGTAGCGTCAAACGCAAGCGTCCTGGTATATTCGTCACGCGTCCATTGCTTGGGGAGCAAGGCATTGTCTCGTAGTATAAAAACTCCTTTTGAAACTGTTGCGAGTGGAGTCGAGACACTCTTTGCGCGATGGTGACGATAATTCACACGAAGACGAAGGCGGAGGTTCGCGAGGAGGAGAGGAGAGCGAGAGAGGCAGCGAAGCAAGGTTCGTGGCAGCCACACATTCTTGTTTTTCTCTGCGAATTTAGCTCTAAATCTTCTTTCTTTCGCAGGGGCCGGAACAAGCACGAAAACTCCGGAAAAGACAAGCACGGGAACTCCGGAAGCGGCGCCAAGAAAGCCTGAAGGTGAGTTCGAGGATCGAGAGGCCGAAGTTACGTTGTTCCTTTCCAGCTGCAGAGCCAAAAGATGAAAACACGAAGAAGAAGCTGGAAGAGGATGAGCTCCAAGACGTAAAGAAGAAGCGCAGGAAGAGCCTGGAATCAGGGGAGTCGAGTAATCCAGCTTAAGCTTCTTCTCTACGGAGGTCAAAACTTTTTTTTTTCTTTCAAAACTTGTGTTCTATGATGTTTGCCAGAGCTACGTAAGGCCCAGCGTTGCAATTCTCGTCGTTGATCGCCGATCGAGCAGCATGGGCTGCGAAGTCCGAGCGGCTGTGACGCCTACAAGCCCCCAGCAAATTCGCCCAGTCGTGGAAATCCGGCTCGAAAGGCATATGGGCGATGAGATCTTTCATGTCGCGAACGTATCCCGCTCGCCCAAGCATGTCGATCAAGCAGCCGTAGTGCTGCTTTGTTCTCGACACCTGGTGATCGCCCAGCATCGAAACGAAGAAGTTGGAAGCCACTTTGACGTCGCCTGAGTGGCTCGAGCCGAGCAAAACGCAAGTGAAAGAGATTTGCTCCGGCTGGACGCCCTCCAGTTTCATGGCCTGGAAGTAGTTTAGCACATCGCTTGGATCCGCATTGTGAGCAAACACTCCGAGCATACAGTTCCACGAGACAAGATCTCGCTCGGGCATTCTAGTAAAGAAGTCTTGCGCGAGTTTGTAATGCCCACACTGGGCATACACTGCAAGCATAGCGTTCCACGAGATTACGTCGTGATTGGGCATTTGATCAAACGTTTCTTTTGCTTTAGAGATTTTTCTGTGTTGGCCATAGCCGGCTAGCAACGCGTTCCACGATCCGATCGCTCTTTCGGGCATAGAGTTAAAGATCTTCTCAGCATCTTCTATATGCCCGGCTTGGGTATATGCTGCTAGCATCGCGTTTCTTGAGATTACGTTCTTCTCTTGTATGGAATCAAAAAGGCATCTTGCATTTTCGAGTTGCCCCTTGTTTGCGTAAGCTGTGATCATCGCTGTGGCTGCTACGACGTCCGTATGGGGCATCTCACCGAAGATCTTTCTGGCATCTTCCAAGCGTCCTAGCTGTGAGCACACCGCTACCATTGTACTCCAAGAAATAAGATTCCTTCCGGGCATGGAATTAAAGAGTTCTCTCGCGTTTTCGAATCGACCGTTCTCAGCATACGCAACCAGCATTGCATTCCAGGAAATGACGTCATGATTGGGCATGGAATCAAAGACGAGCTTGGCTTCACGAAGATGCCCATTCTGCGAATATGCCGTGAGCATCGCGTTCCACGAGGCAGTGCTCCTGTCGGGCATGAGATCGAACAAGCGCCTTGCCTCGTGGATATTCCCTTCCTGGGCATATGCAGACAGCATCGCGGTCCAGGAGACGAGATTCCTATCCGGCATGCCGTCGAAGATTCTCCTTGCGATGTGGAGATACCCAGCCTGAGAATATGCCGTCAGGAGCGTCGTCCACGAGACCAGGTTTCGCTCTGGCATTCGATCAAACAACGCTTGTGCCTCCTCCAGATGCCCGGTTTGGGCATATGCTGCAAGCATGGCGTTCCAGGAGATCAGATTCCGGTATCTTATTCCTGCAAACGCATATTCCGCACCACGGAGATTCCCTCCTTGGGCATATGCTCCCAGCATCGCGTTCCACGAGACGGCATCCCACTCAGGCATCGAGCGGAGAATCTCTTCCGCAGGTTTCAAATGCAGGTTATTCGCATATGCTGTGAGCATCAAGTTCCACGACACCATGTCCATCTCGGGCATCGCGTCAAAAACTCGTCTCGCTTGGATCAAGCTCCCGCTGCTGATCGTTGCAGTGAGAATTGCATTCCATGACACCACATCCCTGTCCGGCATTTGATCAAAGATTTGCTTCGCTCGATCAAGATCTCCGAGACGAACATACGCCGCCAGTATCGAGTTCCAAGACACCACATCTCGATCGGGCATGGCATCAAACACCGCATATGCCCACCGCAGATGCCCGTTCTGGGCATATGCCGCGATCAGGAGATTCCAGGTATATACATCCCGGGCATCCATGGAATCAAACACCGCCCTTGCGAGCTCCACGCTGCCACACCGTCCGTACATCTGTATGAGAAGATTCGAGAGATATACTCCCTGGCTGGTGGTGGAATCGATCCACGGACTGGCTGCGTCGTGGAGATTGCGCGCGTCAGCGAAGCTTTGACAGCGCTTGATACAGTCGCCCAGATTCGCGGGCATGTTCCGTTTGCCACGGTGTCATGCCGTAATATTCCGTCAAGACAGCTCACATCACGCGGGTGAGACGTGGCGCGCTCGTGCCTCTTGAGATCGACGACGCAGGGAGCTCCGCTGGTGCTATATAGCGTCTCCCCTGGGACGTGGCCTGTGTTCTTGCCCGAGCGCTGCCCTACTGGTTCTAGGATCTCTCTTCTCTCCGCGAATTCTCGATCGATCTTCTAGCAATGCCGACGCTTCTCCAGCAATTGCCATTCCGAGTGAGGTCGACGATCAAGCGCGATGAGGATGCGAGCGACGCGCCCCCGATTGGAGGTCTCCTTCCCTCGATCTCTCGAAATCTCTACTCATTCTCTTCGCGGCGCCCGCATTGCGCCTTGTTTCTTGGATAATCGCTGTCTTTCTTGGTGTTCTCTCCGTTTCCTGATCGATTCCGCCTTCTTTCTCGCAGAATCCATGGCGGAGAACATCCTGAAGGCGATGGAGAAGGCCATGATCGAAGAGGAGGAGGAAGGTCGGTGTCTTTCGATCGCATGCACAGAGATTTTGGATGTCGATCTTTATGTTCTTGGTTCTTTCTTGCGCAGAGAGGTACGAGCGGTACGGGAAGGAGAAGGAGCAGAAATTCAAGCTCCACGTCTCCTGGCTCGAGACATCCGAGAGCCACATCATCGCTGTCGAGCTGCCCGGTAGTAAAATCTCTCGATCTCTCGAGCCTTGCGTTGCATCTCTATTCTCTCGGACATCGCTGACCCCCGCTGACCTATGCTGACCCCGGTCCACTAGCTCTGACTCGTCGATCTTTGCTCGTTCTAACGACCGTTTTGCTGAATCGATCTAACCTTCTCTTTGTTGTGCGAATGGGATTTCTAACGTTCTTCCTCGTTTTCTTTCTTTATCTAGCGATCTAACCATTTCCATTCCTCTCGTTGTCGCGATCTTTGTTCTTTCTTTCGCTCGTTCTCTCCATTTCGAAATTCTGGTTATCTGGCGAGTCGTGATCCAACGATTTCCATTTCTCAGAGTTTTTTTCTTCCGGATAGATCGGTTGTTCTCTTCGAATTTCTCTTTCGCTGCTCGCTTTCCATCAATCTAGAGCGCGTGACTAACACTTCCATTCTTCGATGTAATTCCTCTTTCGTTGCGCTTTCGTTGCGCTGTGCTAATGGCTGGCTGGCTCTCTCGATCGCAGGAGTGGAAAAGTCGGGCATCAAGCTCCAGAAGATGGGCGATCAGGCGCTGCAACTCTCGGGCGAGCGCGAGGACGTGCTGCCGCTGCCCAAGGACGACGCCAAAGCCAAGTTCCGCCAGAAGGAGCTCCGCGCAGCCACCTTCTCCCGGGTCTTCAAGTTCTCGTCCAAGGTCAAGGAGATCAAGGCCACCTTCACAAACGGCATCCTCACCATCACCGTCCCCAAGGAGCAGGACACCGTCACGACCATCGCCATCCAGTAGAACAAGAACAAAATCTTATACATCTCTCCTTCCCAATTCTCCTCTAGCTCGAGGCCGGCGCCATTTTTTTGCGCTGCCGAGAGAGATCTAGTTCTTTGCTGATCAATCAACTCAATCAATCGATTCTATGTTAGCGTCCATCTACTCTGGGATCGATGGCGATCGATTTCCACACGCTGTGATCGATCGCTCGATCACTCCGCGGTTAGTTGTATCATTCCTCCTCGCGCGTTTCTAGAGCTAATCATCACATTGTATTGTGATAATGGCGGTGATAATGGCTGCCGCGATAGCGCTAGAAAGACCATGGCCAGTGCTTTGCTTGTCCAAATCCTCTTCGCGAATTCGATGTAGCGCCAGCGATTGCTCCGGTGGAGGAGCTGGACGAAAGAGAAGAGATCTCCTGCTGGCGTCGGGAATTCTCACTACCCAGATCGTTGGCGGCGCCGCTAGAGCGATCGAGGCGGGTAGCGCGGCGGGCGTCAGGGCGCTCGTCCAGGAAGCCCAGGAGGAATGGGGACGAGGGTTGGATCCAGAAAACCCTGATCGCGCATCGAGCTTGGATCGAGCGTGCCGGATTTTCGACCGCATTGTCGCCATGGATCCCGCCAGGACCGCGTGGCTAGAAGGGCGAGGCCAGGTAAGATTTTTTCTTGGAAGATCGATTCGAGCTTCTTCTCTCGCGCAGGTTCGCGTGGATGCCAAGCGATTCGAGGAAGCGGTGGCCGATTTCGATGAAGCGATTCGCAGGTACTGAGGATTTTTTTTCTTCGTGATCTTATAGGATTCGTGGCTTAGGCAGCCAGAGAACTATCGAGCTTACTCCGGACGAGCGCTGGCTTTCGAAGGGCTGGCGCAGTGGAGCAACGCGGTCGCGGATTACACGGAAGCTTTGCAACGAGGAAGAGCCGCGACTGGGTATCGGGATCCATACGTGATGAACAGCCGAGGGAATGCTCTCGCTTCGCTTGGGCGGTACAAGGAGGCACTGCGCGACTACTCGGCAAGCTTTGACGTGAGAGCATCGATCGATCATAAACTCTTCGTTTTGCTTGCTCGAGAGCTGCTCGATCTTTCTAAAGTTTAGAGTTATATGTGTATGATCTTGGCAGGCTTTCCAGGATGCAAGGGAGCTGGACGGGGCCATTTACGCGAGAGCCAACGCTGCTCTCATGCGTATCCAGGTAATATGGGATCGATCATCGAGAAACTCTGACCTTGAGAGAAGGTTTCAATCCTGAAGGTTGGCGATGAAGCAAATGGACTCAGGGAGTTGCTAGCAGTGGCACGAAGAGCTCCCGGAAGCATCGACATGCGAGCGGCACTCGCGGCCGTGTACTGGTCCATGGTGAGAGCTTTGATCTCCAGGATCTCGTTTCATCGCTACCATCTTTTCGAAACTTCACAGGGCCGAGCCAACGAAGCCGAGGACGAGTGGGAGTTTGCCTGCGAGAAGATAAACTCGGGCAGGCTCTTCGACGGCTGCGAGCGCTACAAAGACACGGACTGGCTCAAGAGGATCCGGCGATGGCCCCCGGTCATGATCCAACACATGGACGATTTCTTGCGAGTCCGTGAATCTCCAAGGTGACCACCACCATGCCCGGATCATCCATTTTATTTCTCGGTCGCGGCCACAAGTTACGGAGAAAACCAGCTCTCACACTTCAGTGTTCGAAGCCCAGACAGGGATCTGCTCGTCACTTCTATACAAGACCAAGTTCCTATCATCCTGGAGCGCCAGAATCGACGACACGAGCTTGTAGCCGGGGACAAAGGTGTTGGTCGCCCAAAAGCAGACCTCATCATTGTCGATCACTAGATTCCCATCCTGCTGGACCAGCAGGAAGCAGCCGCTTCCCTTGTCCCTGGTCGGGGAGGCCCAGATCCTGTCGGCTCCAGCGTAGAGCACGGCCTCGCAGTTTCGCTCCATGGCGAGCCTGTATAGTCCGTTTGGAGACGAGAGAGCTTGGGTGGCGAGGAGCTTGGAGTATAAGCGCGGCCTTGGGCCACTCTGGATCATACTGCCGTAAGGAAAGCAGGTGTAGGGGAAGGAATCGATGCGCTGCAAGGAGGGAATGCTGCTGCTGCTGCCTGGATCCAGCGATTCCTCGACGGCGTACTCCATGCCGAATCGCCCGTCGATGGCAGTGATGAAGCTGTAGCCCCACGCGAAGAGGGAATTGGCGACGGCGTCGTGGAGGTCGCGGAAGGCACTGATGAGCATGAAGCCGGGCATGGTGTTGTCGGCGGCGGGCGTGGCGTGGCAGTCGCTGGTGAAGAACCAGAGGCGGAGGAAGACGCGGTGGCCGTCGACGGTGATGGTGTCGGAGAAGGAGCGCGGGGCGTGGGGCGTGTAGGGGATGTTGCTGACGAGCGTGGCCAGGGCGCTGCTCACCAGGACGCGGGAGTTGCTGGCGATTGCGCGGGGGATACCGCGATCGAAGATCTCCGGGTAGCCGGCGCTGCCATCCAGGAGCAGCGCAAGGAGGACGACGAGTACGAGGGATGTGCACGCTGGGATTGGCAGTGCTGCCATGGACAGCAAACTTTTGGATTCCTTCCATAGCTTTTTAACTTGGACAGACTAAATTATTTGAGTGGGGTCAACATTTTTGTAAAATGAATATTCCTAGGTGTTCTAACTTTTTGCAAAATAAAAATTAATTATAGAGTTTAATTTATGAAATATATAATTGTTAAATATGAAGTTGTGAGTGTTTGGAATATGGAAAGAAAATACAGAAAATGTGTATATCAATTAGCCTAAAAACCCTAACTTATATATATAAGCGAGTGATCTGAATTAAAACTAATTCAAAAACTACTAAAATCCCATTACGCTAATATTAATATACGGCATCTTAGTCATACACTTGGCCCTCACATCATTCCCTCCTCTTGGAATAATAGAAGACTATCAAAATTCTCTTATAGATAGGCTAGGATCTAAAGGAATATCAGAAGGAGGCATTGATGGATCTGTAAATGGTATTAACTACTCTTGATCCCTTTGTATGAAACATTTCAACTGTTGCACATGCACAATCTCTAAAGGATTGGCTTGCTGAACGTCATGTCAAACCTTATAAAGTTGTGGTTTAATTTGCTATAGCACCTGATATAGTCCTTTCCATTTAGCAAGGAGCCCTTTAGATAAATCATGTACCGTAAGATGGGGCAAATGGACTAACACCAAGTCATCCATTTTGTACTTTGTAGGTGGATGATAATAGGAGTTGTAGTGCTATTGTTGTCCCATTTGTACACTGTCTAAATGCTCAACAGACTCTATTCGAACAAGTGGAAGAATGCTTGTCAAATACTGATCCCACGACCTAACATCGGCAGCTCATGGCAATTGCAAAGGTAAACCTAGCTCCGTTGGTACTATTAGATCATTACCATATAAGAGTTTATATGGTGAAACACTAATAAAACTCAACACCCTATGACATATGCATACTGAAGAGACGGCAAATAATCATCCTAATCCAAATGTTGAAAGTTCACATGCTTTACGATCATCCCTTTGAACGTTCGAATGAGCCATTCCACCAGATCGTTTGATTGTGGATGATAAGCACTTGTGAAAGTGTGGCATATCCCCAACCATAACGTCAAAACATAAATGCCTCAGCCATAAATGTAGGACTATTATCTGAAAGAATCTACTCTAAACAAGAATGTTGGAACACCACTCGATTAAGGAGGAAGTATTCAACAGTAATTGCAAAGGCACTAACAAGAGCACCAACTTCCACTCGATGAGTCAAGTAGTCAGAAGCAATAATAACATACTCATTGCCAATAGTCGACCATGGAAAAGGTCTTATAAGATTAAATGCCACCAACTCAAACGGACGGGAAATTACAATTAACTCCAACCGTCCTTCTACGGCATGAGGGGGAGTATTACGAGCTTGGCACCAAATGCAATTACGTATATACCAGATAATATCACGTTGCATCTCCAGCTAATAAAAAGACCTACGCAGCTTCTTGGTTACACGATGATGTCCCATATGCCCACCTAAAACAAGAGAATCATGGTAGGCATGGAGTAATTGCGGAATAAAAATAGAAGGCACCAGCCGTAAATGATCATCAGGATCCTATAAGCAACCAAAGGGAACGACTCGAGAGATGATCCATGGGGTTCAAATATAGAGGGAAAGGGCCCATGAACAAGAGTGCACCCCCTTTTCCAATCAGTTAAGGGTCTTGGGATATTTGGGGTTAAGTGTCCTTAGGTTTGAATAGTATTGGGTTGGGTGACCTCCCGGGAAGTCAAAACTCAGGAGCTTACAAATCCATCCCCACAAAATAAATAAGTCCGTCTTCAAGGGGATATTAAGAATGTAAATGCTGGAAAGGCAAATCATCAGCAACTGATGCAGGATTCTCAAACTCATCTCGAAGCTTTTGAATCCACGGCTCAATCTTTTGAGCCTCATGAATCTCATCAAGAGAAGGTAGATTTTGCTCTGCACCTTGTAGACACTGAACATCAAGTATAACAATTGCCGATAGCACAAAATCCTTATCTAGAAAATCCACAAATGCTAAAATAGTAGGCTTGTCAAAAACATGAGAAAAGAGTGGAGAAGAAAGAAGAGCCCAAGAAAGGGCATCAACATTAACCATAGAACTCTCTGGGTGATGAACAATATCAAAATCATATATTTGAAGCTTCAAAGCCCACCGAACAGTATGACCAACCAGGTTCTTTCGCTTCAATAATGAAGTAATGGTAGCATGGTCACCTTCAAGTAACGTCCAAGAACAATATAGATATGCATGAAGTTTCTCGAAACCCCAAATTGTTGTTAAACACTCCTTCTCCATCGTGGAGTAATTCACCTCCGTTAGTTGTAATGTACGGCTTATATATGCAATGGGATGGTGTTGACTAGGCACACTCGGGCTCTCTTACATCAACACACTTCCAAAACCAATATCAAAAACATCCACGCGCAAAATAAAAGGTCAAGTGTAGTTAGGATATGCCAAAACCGGAGGAGTCATCAATAGCTCATTGAGATCCATGAATGCCCGCTCACAATCTGGAGACCAGATGAAAGATGACGTTGATGACCTCAGCAAGACTCGCAACAATGCAGTGCGATCAGAAAGGTGATCCACAAAATGATCGAGATACTGCACCTTGCCCAAGAAGCACTGCACATCATTCACACACTTCAGAGTAGGGAACTTTAAAACAGCCACAAGTTTTTCAGGATCAATTTGTAAACCTTCACGAGAATAAGGTACCTAAGATAAATTGTGTCCTTGGACCCAAACATGCACTTTGACCACTTCAACTTTAAAACTAACATCCTATAGCCAATCCAACACTTTACAAACATCACAAATATGCTCCTCCCACATCCCCTCTAAGTGGATCAAGACATCATCAATAAAGTCAGTAGCCATTTTCGGCATATCGCAAAGAACCTCGTCCATCATTCACTAAAAAGTTACTGGAGCATTGTTCAAACCAAATTGCATCACCAAAAACTTATATAAACCAAATGGTGTATGAAAAGCAGTCTTAGAAATATCTTCTTTGGCCATTGGTATTTGCTAGTACCCAGAAGCAAGATTTAGCTTGCTGAACCCCAAATGATCCAAGAGATTAGTAGTGTAAGGAAGAGGGTACACATCTGGGATCGTCACTTTGTTTAACAAACAATAGTCAATGCAGAAATGAATACTCTTATCAAGCTTTATCACAATATGAGGTTCATATGCCCAAGGACTTTGCAACTTCTGAATAACACCCTTCCCCAACATCTCCTTGACATTTGTATGTAAAATCTTGATCTCTTTGGGTGACTAATGACAAAGAGGAACCTTGATTGGATGAACATCCCCAGTTGGAATCGGATGACATGTGGCAATTTTGGCCCCAAATGATAAGTCAAATTCAAAGAGATCAGAATACTCCTTTATGAGCCAATCAACCGCTACAACACAAAAATTGCCGGAAGGATCAGAAAAGGGAAAATCAGAACAAGATGGAAACATAGGAGGAAATAATGGAGGGACAAAAGTAATAGAAGCAAAGGTAGAAGGAGAGGGACGAAGAGGTATGAAAGTGAGAGGAATGGATGAAACATACGGAAGTATAAGATAAGGGGGAGAAGCTTCAAAGTCACATTTAGCATGATTGCGTTGCAACTAATCCATACCAAGGATGAGGTCAAAAGCTTGACTCAGCAATACTCGCAAGGACTGCAACTCAAGCTCGAGATCACCCACACGCACAACCAGGTCTGCCTCATCTCGTGCACATGCATATGTACGGCTATTGCCATAAAAAATGAAAACTAGTTCTACCGTATGATACAAGTGTAGACCGTAACATATAGCAACAGATCGAGCAATAAAAAATAAATTCAAACCTGTATCAACCAACACAGAGAGAATAATAGGAGACTTTTTGCTATAAAAATGAGCTTGGAAAGTAAACACTGGATGAACCGATACCAAGTGAACACTTTGATAATACTCTCGAAAGAAAGATGGAGGGGTCATTGACTTATTCGCGCAAAGTCCCTCTGTTACTCGCACGACTTCTCATTTCCTGGATGCATCTCAGTGCTTAAACCTTCCACTACAACAACACTAATAGGACGTTGTTGACGCCAAAATCTCTATCCAAGAAATGGAGGTTGCCAATCTGGAAAATGCTGACAATGCCAATAAGTGTGACCAACTTCATCACATGCCCAATAGCAAATGTCACGGTCATGACCACATCCTCGCCTTTGTCCTTGGACTTGAGCAGCAATAGCATCAACCTCTATTAGAACATGACCATTGCCCACAAGAAGTGGAGCGGAAGGACAGGTAATGAGAAGTGGAAGAGGCAAATCCAAGCACTCCTTAAGGACAATGAAAGATGCCCCTGACCACACTTAGAATATAAAAAGGGAATACAAAAAATGTGCATATCAATTAATCCAAAAACCCTAGTTTATATACATGAGTGAGTGGTCTAAATTGAAATCAATTCAATAGCTACATTAATACTAGTATATGGCATTATAACTGTACACTTGGCCCTCACAAAAGTGAAAAAAAAAAACATAATTTTTATAAAGCAATGATATAATAACTTATCAGCTTTCAAATAAAGACTCACTAGGCATGCAAAGAAGATGATTTATTTTCTCCTAATAGTAGTTCATTCTTACTCATTAAATTCTTGTACTTGAAAGACATGGTTAAGAACTTAGGGCAAGGAAAATACACTTTCCAAAGTATGCAGTAATCCAGCTTTGTTCTGTTTCAAACGCAAACAAATTGAAGGCTCAGGTAGAAGAAAAGCTCACTTCAAACAAAATATGAAGGCAAGGAAGTTTTAACACCTGCAATCCTGCTCCGTGTTTATCATTTTTATTCATCTTCTTTTCATCTCTTTGTAGGCTGTGAAACAAAACGTAACATTTGTAGTTGAAAGGAGTTGAAGCTTGCTCAATCAGTGTCGATGATTGCTTATCATCGCAGTCAAACGCTACAATCATATGCTCTCCAGCTGCACCACATAGACCACTTGCTTGGAACTTATTTGTGACAAGTTAGCAACAATGGTGTGAGCAACACGATCAAACTGAAAAGGAATATGGTTCAAATGACCACAGGCATTGCTGAGTTCTTTTAGTCACCTCCCTCCAGGTAAAACTTGTCCTTGCTCATCCCACGCATCAACGTCACCTCCTGATGTTAAGGCTACAGCATGACGAGCTCCCGCACTTGCCTGGATAATATTGTCATTTTCAGGCGCTTTGAAACAAGGATGTTATCTTGAGTGCCATGGCCTGTCTGACCCCAGTGACCATGCCCCAACTATAGCAAGCAAACTCGTAAACTCATCCTAGTCATGTATGCAAAACAGTAGAACTCACTGCAATGGCCATGGTATAGTCCGCACCACAGACAACCTGAGTAGATCACTGAGAGCCGTGACAGGCACCGGCTGCAAATGGTTCTCAACGCTTCCACAGCCAATCTGCCCATACTTTCCTCGTCCCCAGCTAAAGAGCGGCAAACTTATCAAACTTTTTGCCTCGATGAAGTTCGTGAGTACAACATACCTGACCCTCAACTGTCAAAGCGCAGTTGTGATTGTCACCGTAGGCGATTAGCAATGCTGCATATCCATGGCATTCTAGTTTTCTGTCTAGCTAACACAGACAAATACCTGGACGATTCCCAAGCCCCAAAGGTTGTCAACAATAACTGGCGTGCTGAAGCTTTCCGTGGTTCCATGACCGAGAGCACCAAACGTGCCTTGTCCGAATGAGTAAACGTCCCCGCTGGCTGCACCGAAGTATAAATCTCATCAACCTTGAGCCATTTTACCTGTGAGAGCGAGTGTTCGGCCAGAACCACAAGCAACACGGACAAACAGGAGTTTGCGAGATGAAGCGAGGCAGCGGGCTGTTAAAAACGCCAGCCGCATGGAGCTGGCCAAACTCTCCACATCCCCAGGAAACTAGCGAGCCAGTGTCTGAAACTCAAAGTTTAAGCTAGAAGGAACACGAGGGGAAAAAAAAAGATACCAGTCACAGCGACAGTGTGACCGTGAGAAACAAGTGAAGTATCTAGCGTTGAACCTCTCACAGGAGAGAATTCACACCCGGAAGATTTCGTTCCAAGCCGTCCGGAATCGTTCGAGCCAGTTGTGTAGAGTTCCCCTTCGTCTAGAAACAAAGAAACAAAAAGAAAGGAAGATCGCTCGAATAACTCATTCTCACCTGTTGGAAATGCCGTGTGATAATCACTGGGCGCAATGTTTACCACGTCCTTGTGAGCGAGGCTGCTGATCCAAACGAAAGTGCTGCACGTGTAGTGTACGCATGGGCGACGCGCCATAGAACAAAATATTAGGGTTTATAAGGACATGGACTGGGGGAGTTTGCCCAAGAAAGGGAAGCCACAGGCGGTGAATACACAGGTCTCGGAGCATTCCTAGTCTCCGATTGCGATTCGTCCATAGGTGATGGTTTACACGGTTGTTCTAACGATTCGATTCAGCTTCTTTGCGAGTGATTGCATTGGGAACTGGGACCAAATGCCTGGGAGGTTCTCAACGCAGCCTGGCTAGCGACACAATCAGCCATGCCGAAGTGATCGCTAGGAGAACACTGCTATCCCGTTGTTCTTCATGTATATTGCAGGGGTTTCTACGGGTTTTTTTTGTAGATGAGGGCGCTCCAAGGTTTTCAAGAGGGATGATAATGGCAAACTGCGCACCTTGTAAGTCTTACTATCTCTTTGATCATCCACTATCTCTTTGACCATTTGGTTCTTCCACTCTATCTCTTTGATCATCCGGTTCTCCAATCTATTTCCTTTGATCATCAGGTTCTTCCATACTATCTTCGATCATCCGGTTCTTTCTACTTGATAGGTGGAGACGCATGCATCTTAGGAGTTGATCCTGGGGCCGGAGAAGACGATCACAGTGTTTTTTGCTGCACGACGGGGGCAAAGCTGGTGTCTACACAAGTTCACTCGGAACAAAGCCTGCAGACAACGGGCATGCTTAGGCGAAAGCCTGGCCGGGGAGATGCCACTTTCTCTATGAGTTGTAGCGACAAGATCGAGTTCAAGGTGAGTCTGGATTTCCTCCATCCCTATGGCTCCTGGATCAAACACTGTTTGTAGGAGCTCTCTTGTCCCTGTTCCTCAACGAACCAGTATACATCTCGGCGATTACTGTTGCTAGGAGCACGAAAGCATCGTGTGCTCGGTGGCACGGAAGCTAGAAGCTCCTTACAGACTCAACCAGGTAAGACTTTGTGAAATGCTTTTGTAATCCTCGTATGCAGCCAGTGATTTGGCTGGCACCAACACCTCCGGAGGATTACATGCTCTATCCAAGTGGATTGCCTGCGGGTTTGGCTTTCACTCCGAGGCAGTATATGTGATGCTATCGTTCCCTGTTTAGATATTCGATCAGCTGGGACACGTCCGGCCCCACTAGGTTGTGATTAGAACAACGGGAAGGAAGCAAGGCACTGCGGGCAAAGGAGCGTTGTTGCCAGCTACAGAATCAAAGCTCAACAGGTTAGATAAAGAAGAAGATCACTCCATACTGAAAAACTTTCGTTTTTCTTCCTCAGGAAGTCACTGGGGAGATCATTTAGACACCTGTTGACGCATTTCTTCCCTGGCTTGGCTTGCAGCAACTACTTGGAGTGCAAAGTAAAGCATCTTAGTCTTCTGACTCACAGCTTCTTAACTTTCTCTTTCTTTTTTATTTTCTTGAAAGAGATTCTTTTAGATGGCTAAGTTGTTTTAGCTTTGTGACAGTTAGATGAGACACAATGCCTCCATCAGCCTTGTAGATAAGTTATTTATCTTCCATCAAGCTGGAAAAACCTCGTCATCTAAGACTATTGGATCGCTTGAAGCCACCATCACCGGGGACTTGGATCGCTGTCACAACCTTGGAATTCTTCGAAACTGCCCAGATATTCTTCTGGCAGCTCACAGGGCGGAATAAAATCTTGTCATTGCTCACTCGCCAGCTGGAGTGCCTCCCATGACTTCTAGCCACATTCGTATATCCGCAACAACGATTTGGCCCTGTTGGCTTTGTAGATCCTGTTGGACCCTTGCAATGTCCGCCACTTCCTGGGAATGATCTTGTGTTGAGTCGCTCCTACACCGTCACTCGAGCTCACAACCATCTTGTTGCGATCGACAACGAGGGTCATATCAGTGATGGGAGAGGATCCAATAGATCCTCCACCAGATTGTATACCTTGGTGTCTGGTTCCTTGCTCTTATGGTTGCCACCCCCGACGTAGAGCTGACCCTCCATAGCTGCGGACACAGTCAAGGATACAGCATTGGTGCCATGGCGCTCCATCAATTTGCATGTGAGTCGAAGATGCTAACTGATTTCCCAATGCCCCAGGATTCAATGCAATGTTTGAAAACTCTGAAGTTTAACGATGATTCCTCCGCACAGGGCTTGGACTTGTCGTCATGACGCATAGAATTTAGGAGCAGCCTTGCTGTTTAATATAAAGAGAGTGGTTGGGCATGCTTCAAAACCCCTCCAAAAAATATTCTCCCACTTGAGAAAGTGAAGCCATCACTTTCCTTATCTCTTAGCTCAGCAACAGTGATGTCACTATTTTACCTTTTTCCCTCTGGATGAAATCTCTTTCTCTTTTTCTTTTTTCAACCACTAGTTTGTTGGTACAGCATATATAAAATATCCAAAATTGTCCATTTGAAGACTGCAGATCTTTCGTGGTTGCTAGTATATATATTCACTCTGAGCCAAAAGCATCCACTTGTTTATAATAGTTCCACTTCTGTTGTCATGCTATCTTTGCTCTCTTTATATTCCAATTTGCCCTTTTTTATTTTGTTTCCAATTGATGATCAGATTTATACACATTTCTTCTTTCTCTTTTTCTTGCACACAGTAACTGAACCACTAGTTTGTTGGTTGGGTCACATTACAGCATATATAAGATACTCAAAATTATCCATTTACTTTTTGTTAGAAATCTTTCTTGATTGAGTCCCCATAGTTGCTAGAATGTATATTCACTATAAGCTATCCACTCATTTATAATAGATCCACTTGAACTCATTTGTTTCTTACTATATTCTACTGTTTTTTACTCTCCATCACTATCAAACCATGGGATTCAAGCTTAACTAGCATTTAAGTAATGCTATATAACTTTTTTTTTCATGACATTTAATTTAATGCCAACATTATTCTCTATATAGTGTCAGTTTATCTTCAGAGAAGGGAAGACAATGACAGACTACTAATAAAAACAAAAGAAAAAAAGAAGAATTATTTATTTTGAACACTTTTAACTATAAAATTCTAAAAACTCTATTAGTATGAAGTATTTGGAAACTAATATAATCCAACGTCAAACTAATCTAGAAGATGAGTTAATGTTAATTTTAGATGCCATATGGCAAGTCTTGGATTCAAATCCTATGAGCACACTTATGAGATTTGAATTGCATGGTAGACAATAGTGGCAAAATATACTTTAGTAAATATAGAAATAGTGACATTCACCTCTTTTATGATAAGTATCAAGTGGTACTAAAAAGGTGTTAAACTTGAGTTGAGGGGATATGACCAATGGAAATCCACAACCAACTCAAAAGCATGAGATATGATCACTAAAAAAATCTCAAGTCAGTCAATTAAATAATAAAGTTTGTAGTATTAATATTGATGTCAACCACCTCAAACTTCAGCTTATTAGCAATGATCTTAGGAGGATATGGTGGTGGAATATAAGTAGGATTAAAAAGCTTATGATACAATTTTAATAAAAAAACATAGAACACTAAATGCAATGGAGGAAGATTGAGTTGGTAAGAATCTCAAAAGCATGAGAGAGCACAGAAAAAAGAATATAAATATTAACAATTCTGCTTGTTATACAGACATATGGTTTTTCAATAATAACAAAGAAGCTAAACTTGGAATTCATCTGAGAAAAAAGGATTACATTAGAGAGAACAATTTACAATATAGCAGGTAGTAATTTAGGCATAAAAAAAGTGTGATGAACTTCCATGTGAAGATAATCTAAGACACAGCTGTGCAATTTAAAGGTTTTTTTTATCCAGTTTTACAGCTATCATAATAATTAAATCATTGGTAAAACCAAAAGTTGGAGAAAGTGAATATGAACAATGAAAATAAAGAAAAAAAAATTGAAAAAAGCTTGGGAAATAGGAAAAGAGCAAGATGAAGAAGATGGAGGAACTCTTTAGAGCTAATCAAAAGGAAGGTCATGTCATAAAAAGATCCAATAAGAAGTGTCAAAGGACAATGTCAATCTTTTTTATGATAATGTCATTTGACAAAGAGAATTTGCATCCATTGCATTGTTGGTGCAACATGACCAAAAACATGTATATATATTTTCCATACGTGTGTGATTCTTTCATTTTCTTTGAATCTGAAATAAAGTATATATCATGAGGTGGGATGCACAGAAGTCTTATGAAAGTCTGCAGGGTTTGTTCTTACTAAAGTAGAGAGATATGTTAAAAGTTGCTTTCTTTTTTAAATTACAACCAGTTCCAAGAAAATTCTCCCTGGAACTTATGTCTGATATAGCGTACTAAGTGCGTACATAGGGGTGTAAGGTAATGCTACATGGGTTCTTTCTCATATTTATTTATTACACGTTTTAAATCTTTTATGTTTCTCGTAGAAACACACAGAGGATAAATGACTAGCTAGAACTATTACGGCTTATAGCAACAGCTCTCTCTCCTTCGAACAATTTCTTGTGGACTCTAGCAAACACAGATGGCTGCGGACCGCAACTGTTGTCAGTCGTCTTGAAGTTGTCAAAATCCAAGCCGACTTTAGCAGCAGCAAGCCGCAGCTCGGGGAAAATGGACTTGGGGAGGCTTGAACTCCGTGTGTAGACGACAGCTCCACCATAGCCGTCCCATGCATCGTTGGACCCATTGTAGTACACGAACATGTAGTCGTCAGGTTGCTTGTTGAGCCGGGCAGAGACGATGAACCTACGGAAGAGCCACCAATCAATCCGTCAATTGCTCATTCAGAATTCGCAGCTATGCTGTCAATCGCGCACCGGACCTATGCACAAGGAAGCTTTGGAAGATTGCGAAACACTCACCAATCGTCTTTGTAATTGAGGTACTCGTTATCATGATTGGAGAGGACACCCGGGCGTTTGGGATTACTTTGCACGAAATTTTGTATTGCGTTGCGTGTGATGAAGCCGCCGTCGGGGGTGGTCACCCTCCACGTCAGTTTTCCGGTGAGCTTGTGGGGACTGGCCGAGAACTCATGAACTTGGCAATCGTAGAGATCGAACAGGGGGTTGAGACCGCTGGTAATATACCATGTGCCTGTGAAGTCTTGGGTGTTGAACTTTTCCACCAGAGCGCAGTCTGGAGGTTTAGGGTAGGAGCCGTCGTTGGCACTTTGAGGGATGCACTTTTTTTTGCTCAGGAGGCATGTGTTGAATTCCTCTACGACCTTGTTCTGGAAAATGTCTCCGCATCTGACCTATATTCCGATACAAAACGAGAGAACAGAAACATAGTGAGAAACTTGATCCCAGGAAGCCTGTATAAAATTAAATAATACTTGGCAATTCAAGTCTCCTGGACTGCAAGTTTCCAGACAAACTAAATTGGCAGCGCATGAAGGATCTCCCACGCATCGAACCAGCTCGGATCTGAAGAACATGCACAACTATGAGATCAGGTGGATTCAAAATAAACAATGAAACCCAACAAATGAGAAGTGGAACACAACAGCACCTGCATCCACTCAGAAGACATTTCCATGTTTTTTGAGCAGTCTCGATGTCCAGAGCTCCAGCACGGTTTGCTGGGTGCAAGAGCAAAAACGTCCCCAGGAGCAAGCCCCATGCATTGACTTTGAATCCCGGTCCGGTACTTGTCGCTGTTACATTCTTCACACTTCGGACAAGGGGGGGCGGAACCGTGGTACTGGCAACCATCTGCTCGTTCTTCTTCCCACATAGCAGCTTACTACTCTTCACACTTCGGACAAGCGGGGCCGGAGCCGTGGTACTGGCAACCATCTGCTCGTTCTTCTTCCCGCATAGCAGCTTACTACTCTTCACATTCGGCCCAATACTTGTTGTTGCTACTCTTCGAACAAGCCAGTGCGGAGCCGTTGTAGTGGCAAACATCTGCTCCTTCTTCTCCACCTTCCAGCCGCAGCTACTCAAGTTGTAAGCGACCGCCTTGCAGTGATACATTTCAGGAAGCCTCCGCACAGGACCGACCCGAGATGGACGTGCGCGGGGTGCTCTTCCTTCCTCCTTCCACAGGGGTACAAAGTCCGTGTACGCAGCTGGTTTGGTCCGAGCGGCGTACAAGCCTTGCTGTGTACGTTTCTCGGACAAAGTCTTTTTCTCGATATGACATTTGGGTCCTGTGGGCCATTTTAAAAGCCTGGGACATTCCACCCGCCAAGATTCCATGTGATTCAAAAAACGCACGTTTTCTAAAGGTACGATAGTTTGAAGACCTGGTGCCAGCTTTATAGGGCCGATTTGCAGTCGCTTTTTTTTAATAAATAATAATAGTAAAAAATCTTTTTCGTGGTGCTACAATCTATTATTTTTTAAGTTGACGACGTGACACCAGCTTCTCCAGCTCCACTTCTCCACCCACCGCTTCCAGTTCCTATCAGGGCAACGAATCCGTCAAAATTTTCGTTTCCATCTCTCTCACCTTTAGCCCCAGGAACAAACCGTACGGAACGCCATCAAACAGATTGGCATGGTGAATCTGAGGTTTGATGCTGAATCTAGAGCTGAATGATTTATGGACAAACCTGGTGAGCAGCAGCTACCTTCTGGAAGTATGGTACATCGGCCAGTGGGCCAACTGGAAACCTTTGGTGCACCAGGCCGTCGTGAACAAACATGTAGGCCATCCCGAAGATGGTGATGCCCAGGCCCTGGAATGCAATATTTTCAAAGCTACAAGAAATACTTCTATTACTTACTGCTCCAAAGCACAGACCAGGAAGGAGTCCTTCGTGGGAGAATCCGTAAGACATGAGAGCTATAGCAGGGACTGCGTTCACAATGGCAAAAACGTCGTTGAGCTCGAATGGACCTTGGCGAGGAACATGATGAGACTGTTGTAGAGAGACTTGTGGCAATTAACTGTCGGAAAATTTGTGTGTGCGTTACCTTGTGCATGCTCCACAAGCAAGAGTGCCATAGCGCTTTGTGTGCCCATCTAGCCCAAAACTCCATGCCCACCTGAGATTCGAGAAACAGAATAAAATCAATCTTGAACAGCAGCTTTGAACATACTCACAGCTGCGCCTAATGCCAAAGACACGGTACCAAGGATTTCCAGAGCAGGCAATTCACTGCTGCCTTTCTGAACATAGTTAAAGATTTCTCTTTTGTGATCAAGCCTATGTGTGTCAAAGTTCACATACCTCCTGCATTTGCCACACGAATCTGTAACACGCAGCTCCAATGCTGAGACCGCCGATCAATGTGCTTGAGGCAACAGCAGCGAACAAATATGTTGTGCGCGCTGCTTTCTTCTTCTTTGTTGCATCTTGCTTCTTGCAAGTACGAGATTGCCCATCCTCCGACATTGACGCACCCAATACAATCGCTTTCAACTTCGGCCTTCTCAGAGATTTGTGCAATGGCGGCAGAGAAAGGAGCCCGCGAAGATTGAACGACGAACAAGGCACTAGCGCCATCGAAGCTGCCAATTCAGATAAACCTAGCGTTCCGTACAAGACTAGAGAACAGTATCCTGGACTCAACTCGTGAGTTGCGAATCTCAGGAACTGTAGCAGCAATTTGAAAAAAAAAAGGAATGAGAATTTACCTCTGAGTTAGAGATGTGTACATGGTCCAATATAGACAAATGCAAATTGAACAAGCAGAAAGCAAAAAGAGGTTGGACTTCACATGGCCAAAGAGGTGCAGCAGAGGAAGGAGCTTCTTAACAACTCACAATACACTTGCATTTTTGCATTCATCAATTTCATGCTTCAAAATAGCACATAGACAGACAGACAGACGGGTTTTGGAAAATATGTAGAAAAATTGCTGGAGCTTGATGCCGTCCAAAGCTTTGTGACCTCATGAAATGACGATTAGTGGAGCTTGGAAGTGTCCATTCATCGCTCCATCACTTTTTTAGCTGTGGTTTGTAGTAGCGCTGGTTGAGGGGTGGTCTGAACTCTCTGCAGCTTGGCAATGTTGTCCACCGCCACCTGGGACAGCTATATCGATCTCCCAGGTGCTCGTGGGAGAATTATCGATAGCCTTGTGATGAGCTCCTGAGGTGGAGTGACATAGCTGTCCGATGGCGGTGTCATGTAGTTTAAGCTGGCTGTGCAAGGCCTAGTGGCGCTGGTAGTGCAGTAGCACTGGAGATCGATATATCGATACTCATGCTCTTTCTTTTTCAGACTACCAGGATACTTCCAGATTAAAATGAGAATCCAGGATTGATTGGACGACACGCTTATATGAATCTCCCCTCGAACTTTTTCTGGAGCACTTCGAAAGGTGGTGGTGTTGTATCCTCGTTGAATTCTCTGCCATGGCCACTGATTCTTCCAGCTAGTGGTTCCACTGCCAGACACTCCAGCACTCGTTCACCTCTCCAGAAAACTAGCCACAGAAGAATTCTCCATCATGACCATCAACATCGAGAGCATCCATAGGAGGAAGTGCCCCACATCCAGCTGAAGTCCATTCCATTCTCTTCGTCCATTCTGACTAGGCTCGACACTCAAGCCTTAAGAACTGTAGATCAAGTTTCTAGTTTCTTAGTCATGCAAAGAGAGCTTTGCCACTGGTGAGAGCGAGATATTCCTTGAATATCCCAAGATCCTTGTATAAAAACTCCCATAGAATATAAGGCAAACATTATACCCCTAACAAATGGTGAACTTGACATGACACATGCTCTTTGATTGGAGATTGCAAAGTTGTTCCACTATGGGCTTTGAGCTTTCCTCGCTCATCTCTGAGCGGAATTCCTTTGTTTTGGATGCTCTGGAAAGTTATGGTTTCCTCTTTCCAACAAGGTATGGCACTAGCTTAGATGTGGAGTGATCTTAGAGATATTTATGTTTTTCTGTTGTGGTGCACATTTATTATGTGTTTGGAGCATGCTTTCTAGCTGGAGAATTCCTCAGTTTTTGAGCGGAGATCTGAGCCAAGTAAATCACCTTTCATCACAATTGAGCCATGGATTGCCACATGCAACTAATTTCCTCTTGTACACACTTGGAGCTTCACTCACTTGGATCTTGGGATATGGTGCATGGTTTATGGTAATATTTGGTTTGCTAGGAGCGTCTTCTATCACCGCACTGAATACTGTCTCCATCCATGTTCAATCTTGTGAGTTTTAAAGATTTCTATTTTGGATTGGTTGTTTTACCTTGAGATGAGAGGCTGGTTTGTCACGGTTTCTTAAAAATTTTGTGTGAATTTTCATGTTTAGGGTTTGGTCTATATATATTTCTTTTTTATTTTTTTTATGTTTCTTTCTTGTTTTAATTTGGCTTATATGAGAACATTTTTTTTCATTTTCTTTTGTCATTTTCTAGTGAGTATGAGCATGTTTGAGTCCTTGAGTGGTTCTGAGTGATTCATATTTCTTTTTCTGGATCCTGACTTTTACCCTGAAGTGGCATTTACAGGACACACAACTTGATGCCCATTCAGACTCTGGCTTAGAGCTCTACTCAACCAGGAGTGTTTTCTCCATAACGTATTCTTTTTAAGAAGTATTCACAACTCACAAAGGAGCTTGAATTTCCTCTTGGCCCAGATATTGGCAAGGCTTCCTCCCCTGTGACGCATCCCATTGACAGGCCTTTATTGCTATTTGACAAACTTTTCAAGATGGAGCCTCTTGCTATCCATATCCTCTAGCACTCCATGGAGATGCCATGGTTCACTTCTAGACAAGGTGTTGATGCTGAAGAACATGTTCAGCACTTCGCTATGTATATTACACATAATCATATCAATGATGAGGATCTTGTTCACGAGCATTTATTACTTTCTCTTTGTGGGTGAGTGAGTGGGCAACTTCTCTCCTTCCTGCAGAATGGCCAGACCTTAAGACAATGAACAGAAAGTTCTGCAAGAAGTTGCAATGAGAGGACTGACTAACAATTTTACTCGGAGCTTTTCTCTTTTCAGCAACGACACAATGAGAGTGTGGTAGATTATGTCATCTTCTTCAAACATCACTGGAAGGCATGCCTTACTCAGAACCTCATAGAGGACAAGAAGCCAGTCATCTCTGCTTTCATCCAAAGTCTCAAGCCAATGATCCAGCACAAAGTTGCAAAGCAACGACACACAACATGCACTAATGCCTTTGATCATGCCGAGGAGTTAGAGCGTGAATACCTCCAGGACTTGGTCGTCCCAGTCAGCACTAAGGATGATCCTCCACGAGCCAAAACTTGTGTCACAGCTTGTAGTGTGCCAGCTGTTTCAGTTGAGGAGAAACTCCCACCCACGATCATGAAGGCACTTGACAAGCTCGTGACTTACAAGCAACTGATCCAGCAGCAACAACAGCAACAAGACAAGTTGATAGAGGAATTGAGGTCCCTCAAGCTCCAGTCTTAGGCCACACAAGAGAGCAAGCCTTGTGGGCGATGGTGGTGTATGCATTGCCAAATTTCGATAGATAGCACTGATTGTTGCTGGACATTGCATCTGGAGCAGCAATCACTGAGGACACAGCATGTCCGGAAACAACCTCTTGCTGACAATAGCTCACTTTGAAACACCTCAGGACCAGTTCCAAAGTTTCCTTTCTCATTGAGCACTTGAGGCATTCGTCAAGAGAAAGTTATCTTGACAATCTGGATTGCTGAAGGAATATTCCTGGATTCTCACAGCTACTTGAGGCATTTACCAAGCATCAGACCAGCCCTTCAACTCCTGTACAAGGTCTCCCACAGTCAGTTCAGATTGTGGACTTGGAATCTTCCCCAGATCCTGGGGCATTCGTCACGAATGTTACGATTGGAGGATGTGATGCCGGAACCTTCTCGACTCTAGTTCTTTGAAAAATGTGATTTCTTCTCACCTGGTGGAGGCTCTTCAACTTTATCGTTCAGAAAAAGCGACCATGCTACTCAAAACCTTTGTGAACCATACAGTGGTGCCCATGGGAGTTTGTCGAGACATCTTGATCCAAACTGATGGCATTTCAGCGGGTGCAGACTTCATTGTGGTCAACTTCTAGATGTGGCGTGACAAAGATTAGCAACAAGACAAATGAGGCAAATCTTTCCAACTCTTCTGGATACATATAACAACAGAAGCACGTGTCTACAGTTGCATCCAGTCCACAAGCTGAGGCCAATCAAGCACTTGAGGAGATCTCTCCAGAGATCATTCGAGACTCCACTTTTCTGGTCGTCCATTTCCTTTAATGCAACATGATCATGCATGTCATGGGACTCTTGTCAATCCTTGATGATAGACAACTTGATTCTACCCCAGGGATCTCAAGGCAATGCCACTTTGATGCCTTGGATCTCATCACGAAGCAGCTGGACGCCACACTACAATCAACACCTCACAACCTTCTGCCTTGGGACTCAGAGCCTGACTTGGCAGCTGGCCTCTGTTAGAGGTAGAGATGATGTGGCAGTAGTTATGCTCAATCATATACAGTTATATATATACAGTTCTTCCTCCTCGTGTGCGCGCCTCTCCACTTCCGCTTCCACTGCTAACATGGTATCGGAGCCTTGGGCTCCTTGATCCTGAGAATGGCGCTTGCTGGCCAGGAGGCTAGTGATGAGGAGGAGGATGAGCCTCCCGATAGCAATCCCTCTGGCAATGTTTGGGACGCTTGAGACGTTGCACCAAGGCACCAGGCTGTGTACAGGTGCTGAGCAACAAGCAGCAGCAAGCAGAGAACAAAGCCAGTGGGAGATTGAGAGATTTCAACAAGCCACATCAAGAATTGGGTCAAGATTCAAGAACATTGCATAGCAATTCTTTGCAGGAATTTCCAGCAATTGGGAAGGATGCTTATGGAGATTCAAGTGCCTAGTCGCAGAGAAGTGGGAGCCTGGCAGTTCACGGCCAAGACCACATGCTAGAGGCAAGATTGAAGCCATAGCAAGAAGCAAAGAGTGTGCAAGCAAGTCCAAGACCAAGAACCAAGTTTTAGGTAGTTGATTGATGAGTTTTTCATATGCTTTTCTCATCAGCTCTCCATGCTCATCATCTAGCTAGACACGATTCAGGCTTAGATTCAGACTTGGATTAGCCGCCTGATCGTGAGTGGGAGTGTTAGAGGTAGAGATGATGTGGCAGTAGTTATGCTCAATCATATACAGTTATATATATACAGTTCTTCCTCCTCGTGTGCGCGCCTCTCCACTTCCGCTTCCACTGCTAACAGCCTCCACAGCTCCATACAGTGAAGATCTTCCAACCTTCATGTACCAGATTCTTATGACCCAGCTCACGAACAGTGAACACACTGCTGGAGAGTCACCTCCCATCATAGCCACGACCTCTCCTTCATTTGTCCAACATGATGATGACGATATCATCAGTCCAGCGCCACTCTTTCCTGAGGACACTCCAACTCACATAGCTTTCTTTGATGGTGCATTTTTTCTGAGAGCCATCCTCATGATCAAGAAAAGACATATTTCCACACACCATGGGTGTCTTCGCATACAAAGTACTTCCATTTGGTTTGTGTAATGCAGGAGCTACTTTTCAGAGATTTGTCACGTATGCTTTTCATGACCTCCTTGGCTCCTCTCTTCAAGTTTACATGGAAGATCTTTGCTCAGCATCTCACTCTTTTGGAGATCATCTAGTTGACCTTGAGTGAGTTTTCTAGCATTGCTGCTTATATTGATTTTCACTCAACCCTGACAAGTGCAAGTTTGGAGTCCTCAACCAAGCTGGTTTCTTTTGACACTTTATATCAGAGTTTGCTGCAATCACCTGTCCTTTTCAGCATCTCCTCAAGAAGGAAACACTTTTCCAATGGACTGGAGATGGCCCTTGACGAAGACGATGCAATTGCTAAAAGGCATTATTACAATCGTTAGCATGTTTGAATGCACGTTTAAAGATGTCTGGGAGAATATTTTAATCCCCATGAGTGGCTGCGCTCAAACCATTGTACCACTGTAGTGTCGTCCCTTGAAGACACATGAGAAACTTACGCAAACGTCAAGCATCATTCCAAGAATGATATGTGGCAATCACCGTGAAGTGATTAAATTAATGGTACACATCATCCCCAAAATTCCCACAAAAGAACTCCGGCCGAACACAAGGATTGGCACTAAGAGTAGGAGGAATTGTACCATGTGTCATGAATGTCACTATCAACTGAGTTTGGTTGTTCAATTGCAATTGCATATCATTAAACAATTGCACCAATTGCTGCTCTAGAGTTAAAGGAGAATCTAAACAATGGAAAACCTAAATCTAAACCAAAATTCTGAAAGGAAATGAAAAAAGTTAAATTTAGGCAATGCTAAAGCTAGATTTAAACAAAAATTCTAAATCCAAGCATTCCTCAGGGACAATGAAAAGTGCCTTTCATCTCTACCAATGTAAGTGTATGGAATATGGAAAAAAAATATAGAAAATGTGTATATCAATTAGCCTAAAAACCCTAGTTTATATATAGGAGTGAGTGGTCTGAATTGAAACCAATCCGATAGCTACCAAAATCCCACTATGTTAATATTAGTATATGGCATTGTAACTATACACATTGGTAATTTATTCTAAATATTACTAAAATTATTAATTTTGTTTAAAATACTTATTTAAAACTTTAATAGAATATTCTTTAGTGTAATAAAATATTCTAAGAATATTCTTGTTGACAAAATTACTCCATCACTTTTTAGTGCTGTGGGGAGTAGATTTTGGATAAAGCTCTAGTCTGTAGTGGTGCTGATTGTGGTTTCTGGTCTTTGTAGGGAGAATTTTGTGTAGCTTGTTGCTGGCTGATGGGTTGTGGGGAGAAGTCTTGATGACCTTTTGATGAGCTCTTGCCTTCGAGTGACGTCTTTGTAGAAGCTGGCTGTTGGTCCAATGGCAAGTCACATATGGCACAGGAAATTTCCAAGAGACTGTAGAATAAGAAGAAGAGAACAAAATGGTTGGTGCTTCCCCTTCATAGAGAACACTTTGTCAATGAGTAAGATCCAACTTGTTCTATGCAAGATGACAACTTAACATATGAATGAGGCTTCATGGGTGGACGAAGGTGTAAAGCCTCCAGATTCATTGAGGCAGCAATCATTTGGACACTTTGTTTGCAAGTGTGTGATCTTGAAGGCTGTAAAAGATTGAAGACACCACTCAGAAGCTGGAGAAGAAAGTGTTTTTAAAATTGGTCTAAAAGCTGGATATCCATTGGTGCTTAAGATATTGTGTTGTCAAGTGCAAACTAAGACAACTTTGTCTTTGATTGAGCAAGTTTAAGAGGCTGTAAGGGGTTCTGGAGGAGGCTTGAGATGCCACTAAAGCAAACTGGTTCTCCATGCAAGACAATTGCAAGATGATGCAAAGGCTTGAGGTGGAAGTGCATAGCATTGCAAGAAAACTTTGAGTTTGGCTGTGTGTTGGAAGGTGGAGAGCTCTTATTTACTATGAAGGAATGACTCTGAAGTGCTGAACTCGGCTTGAATCACTCTTGGTGATCTAATGAAGTGTTGGTGACTTTGAAAGATGCTGCGATCACTTGAAGTAACAACCAGAGCTGCATTTCTAATGGTTGGCATGATGAGGTGGCTAAACTGATCATGCTAGTGCTGAAGGACAACCAACAGAAACTGAAAATGCTCTCTGTGCATGGAATCATCATCACTTGAAGTTGCCTGGACCACTCCTGTAACATTAAGAGTGTTGTGATCCATGTCCTCAATGTGGCAGCAAGCTCCTCCAAAAGTTGATCTGTAGTTGCTGAAAGTAATGCAAACTTGCATAAATCTTGGTCCTTAAATAATTATTGCTTTCTGCAAAGTGCTATGTGAGTCTTCAGCCTCTGAATGCTGAAAAGGTTTTTTTTTCATGAAGGAAGAGCCTACAACAATGCTGTCCAGCATCAGATCCTCAAGAATGTTGATTAATGATTCTGATTGAGTGTGTGGACACTTTAAATCTCCAATAGTTTAAAGCCAATTAAAGAGCACTCCATCCTCATCATGCTAAATACTCTTATCCAAGTGAATCACCATGAATGAAATGATATCATTCTGAGGTGATGAACTTCTATTGGCTCCACTATTACTTCTGCAATCGCCATGAATGAAATGATATCATTCTTGAGGTGAACTTCTATTGGCTCCACTATTTAGAGCTTTTGTTGAACATTTTGAAAGAAAGGTGGTTTGTTGGGAAGGCATGGGAATTGATTTAACATCTATGGAGCTAGCTAGAGAACCTGTCTTTCCAATATCTAGAATGATGTTAAGATAGATACCAAGAAAGAGTAAAATTTAGAAATTTGAAAAAGTTGATTTTGCTTTTATATCAACAATTAGCATAACAGCTATAATTCATTTTTATAATAAATAAAAAATGTATTCTGGATAATTATGTTTATGTAAAACAATTAAGAGGAGTGACACTAATGCTGAGGGGGAGGGAAGTACTTGTTGAGGTTGAAAGGTAGCTTGTAAAACTCTTCATTGGTGGCACTGTCCTTCCATTTGTGATATTTCCTCCACCAGCCATATCCCCGATTCTTCTTATGCGTCTTGAGAGCGTTGTCAAGGATGATGGCAAGAATGAAGCCCACTGTTGCTTGGGAGGAGAAGATTGTGTTGAGCATGTCATTGAACTGCATAAATAGCTGTGCTGTTAGCATTTCACATCCAAAAGAATCAGAAGTACAAAAGAACATACCCAGCCTGCTCTCGTATGTACAGGTCCATGGCCACTGGCAATTGCGAACTGGTAAAAGTACTGAGGAATCGAAAATCCCATGAACAACGTAAAGCCCAGGATAAATAAGTTGCGAAGAATGTTAAGATTTGTGAACTGGAGGTACGAGAGACCAACAGCAGCTGGCAATGGGAAGACAATTCGTTACAAAGCCATAAGGAAATAGCATCATCTCACCTAAGATGGCGTAGAGAACAGAGTTAATTGCAGCAACGATGGGCTGAGGTATGGAGGCAACAATCGCACCAAATTTGCCTGCACGTACCACGAGCAGTGAGAAAACCACCCTTGTGTGTTTGGAGCTCACCAAAGATCGAGAGAACTATCATAAATAACGCTGCAATTTGCACAGTAAGTCTGCTACCAACTCTTGTGAGACCAACAAGCCCAGCGTTTTCGCTGCAAAAGAATGAAGCACAAAATCATAAGATCGATATGTAGCAGGATCCACTTACACTGAAACAGCAGATCCGGTGATTGTTCCAAACAAGCCATTCAACATCAACCCGATACCCTGCAAACACGAAAATGCTCGCCAATGTCAACCAGGATAAATTGCTGCTTACTTGCCAGCCGATACTTCTTCCAACAATAAATGGCGGTGGAGGAGTCGCATTGGCGAGCCGTGAAACACCATATATCGTGGCTGTTGACTGTTTTTCCAAATCAGCACCGGGAAAGAGAAGATGAAGTCCTACCTCCAGTTGTGAAACAAACGCTGCTGCAAGGAACGCAAAGGCATCGCCGGCATCAAATGTTGGAGCATCCCACTCCAGTGGATACGGGATTCGCACCCTGTATGGTGACAATGTGAATAAATCCAAAAGCTCTCAGAGAGCCATACCAAGGCGCTGATTTTACAAAGTGTGCTCGGTCTGTTCGACAGTGATCCTTTCCAAGTTCCGTTGCATGTCTGTACGCACCGCTTACAGTGAGCAGGTGTGCATAAGCCCAGATGATAACTCCACTCAGAAGCACAGGGAAGCGTTCTAAGACTGGCAGCTTCTTCTTGGAATTCATTTTCCGCAAAAACTGTCACGATAGCATGCTTTCCAAAATCAGAAACTACATTTGTAAAAGAAACAAAATAACCTGTGAGAGAACTATAAGAAGAAGAAGTTCTGGCAGTCCAATTTCAATGCATTTAGCTACCTGGACAAGGAGAAAACAAAGTTCAGGGATAGCGACGTTCAAATAAAAGACATTTGCCTACCGCAGGAAATCCATACTCAAATAATCCAAGACCAACCAGAGCAATCACTGGAGCAATAGAGAGCGGAGAAATATAGCTGCCAACAACCAAGGCGAGAGGTCAGAACCCGTGCGAGCGAGCATTAAATGAAAAGGAAACTCACTGGAGCAAAATTCCCCAGAGCCCACTAAAGCCAAGTATAATCTGTATGCTCGACGCACAAGTCAATGCCCCTTGAATGGCTCGCATGGTATGGTAGAATCTCTGAAGAACAAGACAAAGACAAAGAATGTTTTCACATGAATGGAAATGCGAAGAACCAGACCTCATGATCATCAAATATAGAGCGATACTTCGGCGAATTCACAATCCTCCAGATTGGAATAACATACGAGAAGGATGCATTCATCACAACTGGCAGCCTGGTACCAAAAAAACTCTGGACAAGAGTCATGAGCCCATTGACAAAGAGAAGCGTCTGGATCACTCGAATGAGCTCCTCCTGTTCCAGAAGAAACAGTGAGATGTCACGGGATTAAAAAAAAAGATCCGTAGAGATTACCGTGTTTCCCCCCATTTCAAAAACAAACATGCTAGGGATGAGCACAGTAGTGCCGATCATCACGACATAGTGCTGGAATCCCAAGAGGATCGCCTCAGCTGCCAAAGAGACAGCGGTTATGCTTGATCTAGAATGCGAAGTGACAGAACATACCGATACTGGGGCTATCGTTGGGGCAGTAATCGATGTCTGGCAGCTGATCTTGCACGGGATGCTGATGATCCTCTTTCGGAGCAGCCATGCCGCCCCGCTGCCTCTGCCTACCGCGTAATCGCCGATCGAAGCTCACGTTGTCATCCCTGGCAGGAGAAATGTCGAATGGAATGCTCCCGTCGATCGATGCAGCGCAACACCAGCATTGCGAGCGAGAGAGATTAAGAGAGAGTGGCGCTGGGCGAACAAGAGCCGATGCCGTGAAAGGGAATGAGAGAGATTATCGAGAACCTAGCCAGAGCTTCTTCCTCCCGGGAAAGAAAGAATGAAGAACCCTAGCACTGACAGGCGAGAGAGCGCAGCAGCACAATGCCCAGAGCGTAAAAAAACGTAAGCTACGGGGATTAAAAAACTTGTTTCTACCGGGGATGAAATTAAAAGCTCCTGGAAGCTAACAATTCCCACTTTTAACGTCACCGTTTTAAACCCTGGCAGACCGTTTAGGGCTTTATGTGGGCCGTACGATTGACTTTAAGCAGCCAGGTGTCACGTATTCCGCTCGTTCCCGCCAAACGTTAATCCGAATATACCGCACTTGATTAATAGCTTAACAGTAATGGGGATTTTGTGGACTCTGGCAGTGACGCTCTGAACAAACGATCCTTGAAAGATTTTAAACAACTCCAAGAACAACGAAAGCGAGTCTTAATAGAAAATTCCTTTCATGTACCTTTGCCCAATGCGTCCATATCTCTTTGGAAATCCCTGCCATGAGCTATGAGCATCATCGCTATAGGAAAGGAGTATAGAAAAGAGTCTTCTCCAGTCAGTCAGTCGCGCCTGCGAAGCAGTCAAGAATCTCTTCGTAAAGTGAGCAATCGAAATCACCTTAGTCTGATCTGATACCGAGGAAAACTCTTTGTTTTCTTGTCTACAAGCCCACGCCAGTTTCGCAGAGAACATTTGTCCGGATTGAGCATGTCACCCCTGTCCCAGAAAAAGAACAAGCTTGTCTGAGCAACTGTAAGAAGGAAATGAGTAAACTAGAGTCTCGTACCATCAGTGGAGGCAGTACTCCAGCTTGTATCTGCGAAGCCAGTCTTGTCCTTTCTCTTCATAGTCACTCCTCGTGAACGCAAACTTTGAGAATAAGCTGGAGCTCGCGTACGCGGACGCGCCATGCCAAGCGTCTAGCGACGGGTCTGCTGCTCGCACCACTCTGATAACCGAGCCCAGCGGTCGATCCCTTCGAGCTTCCGAGAACATCCTCTTGTCGAATCCATCGAACTCGCAGTTTCCACCTGTGAGTAGAATTGTCCCGTCCATGACTCGGCTGACGAGTTCCTCTGGCAGCCTCCTCATGGCGATGGATGTCATTTCTCCCACTCCTGCTTGATCTACACCGACCATCGACGGCTGGAAGACTATCTCCGCGCATCTGAATCGTTCCACACCAAGTCCTATTCGGTAGTCCTTCTCGGTAAGAGGCCGTTGTATTACAAACTCTGGCACTATTTCTTGCGACCCTGGTGGCGGCACTGAAATATATGAAGGATCAAGTTCCTGAAAGTAAAGGAGTTAGAAAGGGAAACAAAAGTCGTGACAGTGTTGTACCTTGAGTCTCGAGGCTAGCCGACTGAGTTCCGCTTCGTCTTCGTCTATATCTTCTTCTTCGTCGTAGTCTCTGTCCATTTGCTTGTACATTTGCCAATCCTCGTCATTCATGCCAAACGTATCTTCGTCCTTTCCCCGATCAAAGGCTGCTTGCGTTAAGAGTTTCATTCGTTCTCTCTGCACGGCGGTCAGCCTTTCACTTCGACCGCCAGTAGCTGCAGTTGTAGTACCATGGCCGTTGTTTGTGCCAACCTTCTGCCGTTTTCGTTGGTCTACCCTGGCTGAAACTTCGCAATGCCTGGCCTTCAGCTCCTCCAGATACTTCTCCGGGTTTTCCCTGTGACGAGAACGAGATGTAAGTATTTACAAACAAAAAGATGTCAGAGACGCACAAGCGACGCTCTTCTTCCATCTGTTGCTCGCGCTCTCTCTGCAGGCACTCCTCTTGACGTCTTTGCTTTGCTCGAATGCGTCCCTCAGCTGTTGTTTTCAGAAACCTTTGCTTTCTTTTTTCCTTCAACTGCCGAGAACGCAAAAGTTAGACAGCTGACAAAAAGGAAACTTGATTTTTAGGCACCTGCTCCTCGGATAAAAGGTTATCTGCAATTTCGAGCAGAGGGTACTTCTCTGACAATGGAATGTCGTCACTGTCTTTCTCCGCCTCAATGCTTTCACCCTTAGCTTTCCGTAAAGCCGAGACTGCCTTGTTTAACGAAATCTGTACTTCTTGCTTCGACGTAAATCCTGCTTCCGCCAGCAAAGAGTCCTCTTGCCCGTTCTCCAATCCGTCCAGATCTTGAAGAAGGTTCTTCAAGTATTCCACCTCGTTTTCTAAATCGGCAAGCTTTGAGGATCGTTTTGCTGCTGCCATTTCTCGAAGCCGCTGGCCCTGTTTTTCTCTTAAAGCTGCTTTTCTGGCCAGTTGATCCTCCGTAGGCTGCTCTTTTTCAGGTGGCGGTACCCATGGCAGCTGCCACCATCTCGTTTTCTCTAATGCTTCGGGAGATTCTAACTGATTAAATAAACTGTTATGACATTGAGACACCGAACTGCTTACCTGAAATAGTTTTAGCTCTTCAGCATAGTCGACTGCAATGTAGCCATGCTCTTTTTTCAGGGCCTCAACTTTGTCCCATACAATATGATTTCTGCAAATCCACAAATGGCAGTTATATTTTAATGCAATCGCTACCACCCTTACGTATGATACGGATATTCAAGGCACAGGAGGCGCTTCAAATAATCGGTGACGTGAAACCCACCAACCGCGGTTCTGCAGCATGCTTCCATAACAGGCTCCCCGTTGGATATCTGGAAAAGAAAAAGAGATTAGAGCTTAGAGAAAGGACAAAGAATTACAGAGAAGCCATCAGCATACCGGTATAACATGAGTTGTAGTGTAGCCCGAGCAAACAAGTATACCGTCAGAGTCGCAGTTTCCAATCTTTCTGTTGTGTGAATAGCTGAAGACTCCATCCATACCGAATGCTGTCATTTACACACGAAGGAAACGATGTAAGTTATATCGTTGCATAGCATATAGTAGCATGGGAAAGACCAAAAGATTCACCTTACCCAAGGAAGGAACTCCATAGGTCTCAAAAAGAAGCTCAGCCATTTTGCTCCGCGACTGAAGCGGATTGCAAGGACATTCGGTTAACAAGACCGGATGTTCCACCTTCAAAGGCAGCACCGGATAAGTACCGCGTAGTAGCCACTTTTCGAAGGAAACAAACCTCTGGTCCCCGAATTCCCATTCTATCAAATGCGTAGTCTAGTATCTGCAACAAGTTATTGTCATTGTAGATCCTTTTCAAAGGAAGGAAAGAGAAGAGACTTACACATTCCATAGTCTCGAACTGGAACACCACATTTCCATCGAATGCAGAGCGGGCAGCCGATCGAGTGAAATCATAAACCTTCGCAATCCCCGAATCATAATCCCCGATGAGATTCACAGTCTCACCTGGAAAAAATACGCCAATGCAAACACGCTCTTCCACAAAGAAATGCTTACCAGAGGACCGATGCTTGGGACGATTGAGAACGCTCTTGAACTCAATGCGCGGCTCCGCATCGCCGGCCCACCTAAGACCACACTTGCAATCGGCAATAAAACTCGGTACGATGAGGCCATACCCCGCTCGGCAGCTGAAGGATCCATTATCGATGACGATCGGCGCAACCCTGGGCGGTGCGCTCTCTCGCCGACTCATCGGCTCACAAGAACCCTAAATATTGGTAGAATATCCTTCACCCTACCTTTAACTACGTTAAAAAAATGTTAGGATCCTTTTAGGAGGGGAGCATGGGAATCGAACCCGGCAGCTTGCACTCGGGAATGATAAAATATATTTTATCACCATGTCGTTGGATAAGCCAAAACGAGGCGAATCTAAGCAGCGAATATTTAATTCGCATATGCGTTGGTTGCGAGGAGGTATCCCTCGACGGCCTTCATGGATCCAAGAACAGCTTCTTTGGCTTGCTCGGGAGCTGGGCTATCGCCAATCGGCTCGTATTCCACGCTCCAGATCGCGGTGGAGCTGCCATCGTCCGCCCCATCGACGTACTTGGTTGTGGCCACGAATTGGCTGTAGAGCTTGGTGAGATCGCCCTCGATCAGCGAATAGGTCACGGATTTGGCTGCGTCGTCCACAGCCAGCACCTTCTCGGTCGCCACGGTGGGTTCCTTGGACACGACTGGATCGAAAGAATCAAGCAAAATCAATGGATTCAATCATCAGTTCTCTCGCGCAGGGGATAGATCAATCAAGAACTGGAGACGATGGAGACTTACGAGGGCCGAATGTGATCTTCCTGATGGTTCCAACGCCGCCATCGCCCTCTACGAGCTCGTAGCTCTTGATGAAGTCGGGGACGATCTTGGGCAGGAGATTGTGGACGTCTCTGAGCGTGGCGTACATCCGGCTGGCCGGGACCTTGAGCGGGAGCTCTGCGGAGAGAGTCTTCACCATTTCCACAGATCGAATGCTACTAGATCGATAGATCGATCGCGAAAGGCAGGAGTGATCTAGAATGGGAGCGAGATTGATCGAGGAAAGGAAGAATTTGATCGATTGGATTGAAAGCCATGAGCCACTGCTTGGGGTTTTATACTGCCTGGAGGACATGTCGGTGGAAAAGCTGCGAGGAGGATCAGAACAAAATCAGTCCTGGCATGGGTGGGACAAAAACTTCACCAGTTCTTGCGACCTCCTTTTCAGGAATTGTAAGGTCAACGTGTTCGTCACCAACCAGCTTTAATGTTCTTCGCGTGGAAGAAATTGACCCGCGCTGACAAATCTTCCTTCTTCTTTCTTACTTTGATTGATCCAAGCATGGCCGGCACTTAGCTTAGCGAGCGCATCTACATGAGATTCTCGCTAGCTGCGAGCTCAAATCCAGTACAGGAATACGTGAAGCTTCTCAAGTTTGCTGGGCAGGCGAAGAATTTGGCCGAGGGGAAGAGGATCCACCGCGAAATCGAAACCAGCTCGTTTTCGAGTGACAAGTTCCTGTCCGATCACCTCATCGACATGTATGGAAAGTGCGGCAGCGTTCACGAAGCGCGAGCCGCGTTTGAACAGAGCAACCAGAGAAACTGGAACTCGTGGAACGTAATAATCTCCGCATTTGCCCAAAACCGGCATTTCCATGATGCGAAGTTTGCGTTTGAGCGAATGCCAAAGAGGGACGCCATAAGCTGGACGACGATGTTAAAAGCCTACGCAAAAGCTGGCGAGCTTAAGGAAGCTGTAAACTTGTTTGATAACATGTTAAAAAGAGATGACGTCGCCTGGAACAACATGCTTGCTGCATATGCCCAAGAAGGGAATCTTTGCAAAGCACTTCTTACGTTCGATCTCATGCCGCAATGGACTGTTGTGTCGTGGAACACTTTGATCTCGGGGTATCTCGAGCACGGCTGTGCCGACGAAGCGACCAAGCTGTTCGATCAGATGCCAGAAGAGACTGTGGTTTCCAAGACTGTAAAGTTTCGGGCGAGTGCACAGGCCGGGAACATCCATGCTGCTCGATCGATTTTCGAGTCAATGATGGAGCGAGACGTGGTTGCCTGGAACGCGATGATCTCCACCTATGGTGAAAACGGATCTTCGGACGAGGCCAAGAAGCTGTTCGATCGAGCGAGTGAGCGAAACGTTATCTCTTGGACGTCCCTCGTCACGGCATTCGCTCTGGGTGGCCAGATCGATCGTGCGACTGGAGCGTTCAAGAGGATGCCTGGACATGACTCAGCGTCATGGAACTTCCTCATAACCGCGTATGCCCAAACTGGGCAGGACACCGAATCAAAGAGATTGTTCGATGAACTCCCTATGAAGGATGTAATATCGTGGAATTCCTTGCTCATCGCGTTTGGGTGGCGGAAGTCCAAACACCACCTTCGTGCAGCGTTCGAAAAAATGCCGCAGCGTCACCTTATCTCGTTCAACGTGCTCATCACAGGATATGCCCAATGCGGGTGTATGCGCGAAGCACAAAACGCCTTCGATTCCATGCCCGTCCACGTTGTGCTAACGTGGAATGCCCTAATGGCGTCATACGCACACTGCGGGTTCCTCCAAAAGGCCAAGACCGTCTTCGACGAGATGCCCGTGCGAGACAGCATCTCGTGGAACGCGCTCATGGCCGCATATGCCCGAGCCGGGCACGGTGACGTGTCGTTCCACGTGTGCAGGCTCATGTACCAGGACGGTGTACGCCCCGTCGACGTCACCTTTACCATCGTCCTCACGGCGTGCAGCCACGGTGGCCTCTCCAAGGATGGATTGCAGTATTTCCACTCGATTTGCGCGGACCACAACTTGGTGCCTTCGCTCGACAATTTTTGCTGCATGATCGATCTGCTTGCGAGGTCTGGGCGGACTGGAGATGCGCTGGAGCTGGTGGAGAGCATGCCGTACCTCCCCAACGAGGTTGCATGGGCGGTGCTGTTGGCAGGGTGCATGACACACAAAGATGTACGGCATGGGGAGATTGCTGGGAAGAGGTTTTGTGAGCTTAGCCCTTCCAAAGGTGCACCTTATGTCATGCTAGGCAAGCATTTGATTTCATAAGGTAATTATAAACTCTTTAAAACATTCTTAATATTTAATATTTTTCAAAAACTATAGATTATATTTTTAATTGTCACACTATTAATCTGCTCAGCCATATACTTCCTTTAATCTTCTCATAAAGCAAGAAATGTTTAGTCATGAATGTGTCAATATTATTCAAATCTTTGAATACAAGTTAGAGATGGCAATGTGAGCAGAAGAACTTTGGGTGTTTTGCTGGAGAAGCTGCATTGCCATAAACACACCCGTCTTGTCAACGCTAGCACCATGGCATCCACTCAGCAATGCCATCCACTTGATAGAATCCGGTGTGGTTGGCATCGTCTTGAGCAGCTGACGTGCCTCCTCCAGCCAACCCCCTCTCGCCAACAGATCAATCATACACCCGTAATGCTCTGGAATAGGATCCATGTCATAGTCCCACCTCAAGGACGAAAACAGGTGGCAGCCAACGTCCGCCACGCCAGCATGGCCGCACACACTCAGCACGCTGACGAAGGTGACAGCCGTGGGAGCCACGCCCTGCTGGACCATCTCCGCGAGTACGTGGAGCGCCTCACTGGCATGGCCGCTCTGGGCATACGCCGCCAGCGTGGAGTTCCACGTCACCACGTTGTCGGCCGCCCCGACGCCTTGGAAGATCGAGCGCGCTGTGGCGAAGTCACCGCATTTTCCATAGAAGTTTACTAGCGCTGTGGCGACCACGCTGTCTATCTCCATGCCCGCCTCCAGGATGGAGTCGTGGATGATCTTTCCTTTCCGGAAGAGTTGCAAGCTTGCTCGAGAGTTTATCACTGTGGCGAGCGTGACGCTGTCCGGATTGTGGCCTTGGAGCTCCATTGCTCGGAGTAAATCGAATGCCCGGTCGGGATGCCCGAGTCGTGTATGCGCTGCTATCAACAAGTTCCAGGAGATAACGCTCGGCTCGCCTATCCCATCGAAAGTTTCGTTCGCGTCTTCCAGGCTTCCACAGGCGGAGTAGACTTCCAAAAGAGCGTTTGCGACGAGCGGATCCTTCTCCCAGCCCAACTGCCTGATCCGTTCGTGGAAATCTCTCGCTGAAGAGAGATTCGTGCAAGCACCGAGAGCTGCGATGAGTGCCACCCTGTCTGGAGTGTGTCCCTCGAGCTGGATTCGTCGAAAGGTGATAGACGCCTCGTCGAGAAGCCGTGCTTGAGTGTAAGCTCCAAGCATTGTTGTCCAGGAGATCAAGTCCCGCGACTCCATCTTCTCGAAAACCAGCTTTGCGTCGTCCAGTCGGCCACAGGCTGCGTACATTCTCACCAGAGCTGTCCCAAGAACTGCGTCGAGGCGGTATCCTTGCTCAAGAATCTCTTCGTGAGTTTTTTTCCCGGTTTCCAGCCCGAGAGAGCTCCCTGTTGCTGTGCAAGCTGATAAGATCGATACGAACGTCACCTTGTCCGGCCTCACTTGATCGAGTTTCATCTGTTCTTGCAGCTCCATCGCGTCCCTCAAGCGTCCGTGCTTGGCATAGGCTGAGAACATACAGTTCCATGCAGCCAAGTCCTTCGCTCGCAAGCTGTCAAACACCATCTTCGCAGACTTCCTATCGCCTTGCTCGCTCTTGATCTTCACCAGGGCAGTCCCGACCAGTGTATCCGAATCCAAGCCGCTCTCAACAGCCAAGTCGTGAATTGTCTGTAAACTTGAGGCTTGCAACGTGCTGCTCTTGGCACAAGCATCGAGGACTGTGAGCAAAGTGTGCTTGTCACCTTTCCAGCCATCGAGCAGCATCTTCCGGAAGAACTCGAGAGTTCCTTGGGCTTCATTAAGGGAAGCGTAGCCGGCGATCATACTGTTCCACACTAGCAAGTTCCTGTCTGCTATCCCATCGAAAACCAAGCTTGCATCCTCCAGCGAACCACACCTCCGGTACATTTTGATCAGGGCGTTCCCGACGAAAGCATCCGAGTCTAGACCACTTTGCTCGATCAGCCGATGAACTTTCCTTCCGGCATCAAGATCGCAGGCGTTGAGAACAGAAACGTACGTGATCTCGTTTGGAGCTACCCCTTCCTGTAGCATCTCGATAAACAGCGTCAGTGCTTGCTCGAGACACCCTCTCTCGACGTAGGCCGAAACCATTGTCGTCCACGACACTATGTTCTTCCGGAGAAGCCTGTTGTCAAACACTCGCCTTGCCTCGTCTACGCTGCCACACTTGGCATACATCCTCACAAGTGCGGTTCCCACGTCCACGCTCCACTCAAAGTCACTGCCCTGAATCCTCCTGTGCACCCTTCTTCCCTCTGCCAAGCTCCCACTTTCGCTACAAGCGTTGATCACTGTGAGGAGAGTGACTCTATCCGGAACCACGCCTTCGTCTAGCATCCGATGAAACAAGCCTGTTGCCTCTTGGAGATGCCCGACCCGGGCATAAGCTGCCATCATCGGAGCCCACAGTCCAGCGTCTCGAGAGGCCATTTTGTCGAACACCTTACGAGCGTTATCCACGCTCTTGCATACCAGGTACATGTGAACGATACCATTGGCCAGATGTAAGTTCTTGTCCAGTCCATCACTCACGATTTGAGCATGTAGTTCTTTGCCTTTCGGCAAAGTATGACATGCACGTAAGCTTGCTGCTAAGTCTGTTACTGTCGTAGAGATTGTCAACACTGCCAGCATTTGGATCTGTCGCTAGAAAAACTACACACCGTTATATGTACAAAGAGAAGCTTTTCTGTACAAGCTTACCTCGAAATGAAAGAACTCTACCGCCACCCGACTGTACAGAAGGATTTTTCACACTGCCAGTGACAAGAGGAGCGCTGTGCCACGCTTCACCCAGTGGTCTGGACTGGCGTTTCCAGTCTTCAACGCGACGTTGAGCAGAAAACTCGGCCTTTCTCTCGTTCCCGTGCGAATGGGATAGAGAAATAGAGGGCACATGTAGAGGCCCTTTGGAACTTTTTTCTTGTTGACAACCGGTTTGAAAAGAATGATAGGCATTGGCACTATCAGTTCCATCGGCTTTGGTTCCTGCGACAAAAAGTGGTTTAGCTTCAGCGATGGCAGAAAAGAAACTTACTGTCAAGCATTCGTTTTTCGAGTCCCATCCTGCTCCTTCCAAGAACAGTCCCTTCACGTAAATTCCTTCTTTTGGCGGCTCCTGAATATCACTCTCCTCCTTGTTGATGATAGTGAATTCCCAAGTCAAAGTATCGACTGGTATCAAGTTTCTTCTTGCTGTTGTCTGAAGAACAGCAGTAAGAAAATCAGCGGGATACGTAAATCCAGCGAGCCAATATACGAGAGGGTACGTCCTCTCTGCCCAGTTCTTCAATTCAATTATCCTTTGCAAGAGGTCTCTTGTCCAAGGGCCCAGAGGTTTTAAAGAAGGATACGCTCTACAGGCATCAAGCATGAGCAACAGATAAAAGGAAAGAGCCTCGAAAAAACTTACTTGAGCCATTGTGCAGGCACTCTTGCTTCAGCAAGTGCGTTGAACATAAGCTCCAAGTCCGGAGACATTGATACAAGACCTTGCACAGCCTTCTCCAAAGTCAAACATGATTCACGCATATTTTTGAGAAGAATGTTGTATCTCTCAAGCTCCTGGAAAAGAACAGTGTGCAATGCTGATGGATCGTGCGCTTTTTGTGCTTGTATATCAGCCAAGTCGAATGGTTCGGGTATCTGAAACAAGAAAACCGTCATCGCCTGCAGAGAATGAAAACCTTGAAGAGGCCTACCTGTTGGATGAGATCGGCAAGAACGTTTCCAACCATTTCTTCGGTGCTAAGGCCGCCTTTACTGGTGGCCACCCTCGGTTGCAAGCTCGTGATAGTCTCCAGGACGATTTTACTGGCAGCGAGCTGAGAGGCAATGTCAGCGTTGCCATGCTGGCCAAAGGCCTCCGGTTTGTCGACAGTCGGGAGCGTCTGTATAAACTCTTTGTGACTCTGCAGAGTTCCATCATCAGGGATGTGATAAACGGGAATAGAAGAAAGCTGATAATTTTGGTTTGCGAGGGCCTCTTCGCAGTAGAACTGATTGAGGTAAGAAGCGAGGACACGGCGGTCGAGCTCGTCAGTGACTCGACCACCGTAGTTGGCTTCAGATATCAAAAACTTGAGAGCATCGAAAGGAGTAATCTCGTACTCGTCCAGGTACGTTTTAAGCAAATCATCTGAGACCTGCATTTGAAAGAATCCCGGATCTTAGCTAGCCGGAAAGAAACGTAGTGAACTTACTTGAAAATCCGTGTCGTTGAAATCGTATGGAATGTTAAAGCCCAGTGTCCCAAACTTTCTACGCTCGAGAAGCACGCTGTGGAAGTAAGCGAGTGCAAAGAAAAGCTTTTGGTACTTGTGCTGTGTTTTGCACGCAAAGAACGACTCTTCTGTCGTTTGATTATAGAGCCTGGTAAGGTTAGCTCGCAGACCCTGTGAGAAAAAAATTACTTAGAGGCAATTCATCGTCATTCTTTCCAACCAAACCTTTGGAGGTTCTGCTGTCATTTTAACGCTACGTTGAAGGATAGAAATGGGGAATTCCGAGCTCGGTGCGCTAGAAAGCCAAAGCCTAAACGTTTCATTCGGCTTACTCTTTTCCAGGCCCTGAAGAACCTTCTCAAGCGTAGGCAGCCATTTGGTCATAAGATGGCAGTTCGCAAGGAATACCCAGCCGCCAGCTTTTGCCTGAAAGAAAAAAAAAAGAAAAAAAGAAAAAAGGAAAACAGATTTAATAGAAAGAAACTTGATATACTTACTGCTTCGTTGATCAGCCTGATTGCAACAGGACCCTGTCCCTGTCCCAAGGCCACCGCATGAAACTTGTCTTGGATGCCTTTTGTCTGAGCAAACTGTTGAAGACCGGTTGTAGGATCCACACCTGATAGCAAGTTTACGTCAGTGACTTTCTTCGAAAGTAAACAGAAAACATACCAGCTGAGAGAATAAAGAGAAGCGGGTTCACAGGTGACGAGTCGCTATAAGATTCTGCTAAGTCCAGAATTGGTGGCTCAACAAATTTCTGACCCAAAAGACTCGAAACGTATGTTGTGATCGAAAAAATTAGACGATCCTGCAGACATCAGCATTTAGAAAAGAGGCCGCAGCAGTGTTGTGACTGATACCTGTCGGAAGCACCGTAAAATAATCAGACGCTGCAAGTCATTGCATTTGTCCTCCCAGTCACCAGGCAGCTCTATTTGCTCCGGCTCCGCAACTTTATACCATTGCTCCCATTTACCTCGCTCCTGTTCTAGGCTCGCGGCCTGTCAAACGAGCTTACGTTTAAACAAGCAAGAAATAAGCTGGAGTCCTTTACCAGCTTTTCGAAGTGAGGAATGGCTTTGGAAAGCTCTGTCACATCATCCCACGCCTGTTCTGAGATCCATGGTGCCGGAATTGGCGGCTGAGATGATCTGTCGAGAACTGTACCGCCCCTCAGGAAAAACTGCCACTCTTCATTTGAAATGACATTTGATGCTTGCAAAATTTTTGCACAGATCTGAGGAGATGAGACAGCAACATAAGGAGGTCTTATTTTCTAATAATCAAGAGATACCTGGAGCGAAAGGAGGAGTTTATGCTTTTCAAACAAACCGCGAGAGGTATATTTATAAACTGCGTAAGTGTGGTACTCAATCAAGGCCTTGATTCGCTCGCTCAAGTTCTCGGACCTGAATAAGAGACACGTTAGCTTACTGATGTTTGAATGACGCACACTTACTTAGGCGCCCGTGCAATGGAGATGACGAACAAAACCGTGTAAGCCTCCAAAGAAAATTGATACATGGGATCGATTGCCACCAGTTCGTTGAGCAGAAAGTAGAGAAGCGAAGCTCGCTCGGCAACAGTTTTATAAGCTGCACTAGCAACTTCAATGCTCTTTGCAGTAACTTCTGCTACCTCCAGAGATACTTTGACCTGATAAACACGAGAGAGCAATCAGGAAAGTCACAAGTTTCACAAGTATCCTACCGTTTCCCATGTAACTTTTGACTTGTCCAGAGTTTCTATCAGCTCGAGGTTCTCAAGAAGTGGCCCAGTCGCAGACGAAAGAAGACGCAAAATATTATCCTCGCACTCCGCCTGGGTCCGTTTACCGTTTGTCACCTGACAGCAAACAAGAATATATCACAACATGCTGCAACCGAAAGGCGATCCTATACCTGAATAATAAGTTCGTTTCTTTGCTTGTCTAGATCTGGTCTTTCTTTCTGAACAACCAGCGTCAGCAGTTGCGCCTCCAAGCTTGCTTCTTTGACAGCAAAGTTGATAATGGTTGTTTTCGTCGATGTTTCAGGTGAGAAATGCGGATTCGACAACTTTGTTGTGATGTACAATTTAAATCTCGGATGATAGTCAACTTCCTTATCGCCCAGTCTCAGGAAAACCTGGAAACAGAGGCTTAGCACACGAAGAATGCCAGGATATACATCTACTCACTCTATTTCCTCGTTGTATAAAAGCTTTCGCAAGGACAGGTTCTATCGACGGATCAATTTCTTCCATGATGTCTACCAGCAGCACAGGAGTTCCACTTTGAATGCAGTCTTCCATAGTGCGCATCAGGTTATCAGTCTAGCAGAAAGAAAAACAATCATATGAGATTGACAAAAGAGACTTATAAATCACGTACTTGCAAATCCATGACAACAAGCCCGTTGCTAGCTTCAAGGTTCTTAATCCACCTCTTTGACTGTTCCTGTAATCGCCCAAACCTTCCTTTCAGAAAAAAGGAAGACAATGAATGACATTCTGCTTACCTGCGGATCGATCATCAAGGGCCATCTATTACTTCGCATGACGACTACACCGTTCTCTGTAGAGAACGAATCTGCGGGAAGGCCTTGAATGTTCCATTCTCGAACATCGCCAGCATTGGCTAGAAAGTTGCAGAAGTTAAAATCTGCCGAGGAAGGAATCTCTAGCTTCACGACCTGCATCAAAAAAGAGAGAGCCATTAACGTCACACCAAGCGGCAATTCACGAGGCCAACCTCAGCCATCCATGTTTTGTTCACAAGCTCATCTCGATATTCGGACGAGAAAGGTCCAGCATACGATAGAAACGCCGCCGCAACAAGACAATCTCCAGGGAGCTTACTTATTTGCTCTTCAAAAGATTTGATGGATGCTTCCCACCTATCTTTCTCGCCAGCCAAACCATTCACGAGCTTTTCAGCTCGTATAAGTTTCACCTATTAGACAACAGGAAGAATGAGGTAAATGCTTTGCAAAATGTCTCAATAGGCACCTCGAGGTCGTCTGCTTCCCGCTGAAGCGTCTCTTTCGTGTTCATTGACTTGTCATACTTGTCTTTCAGAACCTGGAGCTTCATTCTCACTTCTTCCAAGGTGTTCCTGCGTAGATACAAGAATACGTTAGAGTCAAACAGAAACGCAATATAGAGTTACCTCGCAGCTTGCAAAGCGTCCATTTGTTTCTTCAGTGCGTCTTGAGCAGATTTTAGTTTCGCCTTTTTGGGAGCCACTTCTTTGGCAACGTGGCCATATGACTCCATGGCACGGACCTGTAACGTAAAAGTTTAGTCTATCCATCGCTTTAGAGTTCCCGTCAGACATTACCCAAAGGCAAAGACCGCGAGCAGCCCCTGAGACTTTCCCGATGATGTCAGGAGTGAAGTCGGGATTTGCAGTATACTTGTTGATCTTTTTTAACAGCGCATCGACCTGAAGAGAACATTCAATAGACGTCACCAAATGCAAGAATGCACTCACAAGTTGGTCTTTGTCATATTTCAGAAGATTTGTGAGGAATTGTGAGTCTCCGAGTTGCTTTTTTGCCTCGTCCCAGGTCGGGGGTTTTTTCAGCACTGTCATGACAGCTCCCAACGTCAACTCCACCAAAGCTGGTGGTTTCGCATATGCCTTCACTTCGCTAAGATCTTTCTTGGTCAAGACATTCAGCGCTTCTTCTGCAGCCATTAGTGCTGGCATAGCTTTATCGAGGTCTTGCTGACAATCAGAAGCGATTGCGTTGCATATCTTTGCCTCTTTCTCAATCTTAGCTGCTTCTTCATTGACCTGATGGAATCAAACGTCTAGACAAGAACATTTTCTTCACCATTACTCACTTGTTTTTCTTGATCATCGATAACACGTTTTTCTTGCACAATCTCCACAAGAATTTCCTCACAGTCCTTCTTTGCTTGTGCCACAATAACCTTTTTATCCTGGCAGACAATTTGCAATGCTGCCACTTGTTCCCGTGTCTCATTCAAAGTATGAAGACCGCCACGTAGTTTTGCAGCGTTATCAGCCAGCTGCTTCTTCTTTTCAGCAATAAGCTTTCGATATCTGGTGGAACAGCGACATTAGAATTTATGCGAAAAGGAGATCATACCCTTTAGCAAACTCAAGGTAACTTGTTGGTGTGACATAGTTCCTCCTTTTGAGCTGCGCATACATTTTTGTCGATATAATAATCACTGATTTGTGAATGATCACAAATATCTTGCAGATATTTGTCTTCACTGCAGCAGCAACATTTTCCTCATCGGCCATCAGCTTTATAGCGACTTCATGAAGAGCGTCTTCAGGCCAATCCAGAAACCTGCAGTTCGACCCAGATTAGTATTCCAGAACTTGAAAATTTAAGCCTTACCAGTCAATTGTTGTACAATTCACCAGGCCTGGAAACATCATAAGTCTTCTGTGGAAGGCTCCACTAACAGGACTTAAACAGAGAGCGACATGAAGACTTGCTCGAGCTCGCTCAATGAAGAATGCATAAAGCTCGTCGTCAGTTTCACCAGCGTTTTCTTTTTTTGCAATGGGACGAATTGAATCAAAAACTGTTGACAAGTCGTCCTTTGTGAACAAATTAGGAACCTGCGTTAAAACCAGGCACCCTCAAGACGGATGAGAAATGACATATCAATCAAATACCTCTCCCGAGCTCAAAATGTTGTTAATATCCTCAAGGAATGTTTCCACCACAACTTGAGTATCGTCAAACAAGAACACAACCGGCATCTTGTTTTCGCCTAGACCAGCTTGTTGATACAGAACTTTAAGATCGTCGTGAAACTGTACCGAGCCGTAGTTTTTCACAACGTGTATAGTGAACACCTGAAAAATTTATCAAAGTCACAATGGTAGCAATACACCAAGAGCACGCACGAACCTTCATATCCGCAATAAAAGCCGATAGTCTAGTAAGACACTTTCTTCCACTGCCGCCAACTCCAACCAGGAGTATGTTACCTCTCGGCTGCTTTAAGACTCTGTGGATTCGACATACGTGCTCCATTGCATCGCGAAAGAGCACCTGAAAACAAAGAACTGTTAGCCAGATGAAGGGTCATTAACAGGCAGAAATACCAAATCCATTCCAACAGCGCCTGGCTGCAATTTGCACTCCTCCAAATATTCCTCCAGGTTTTCTTTTAAAATTGGAAAGCTTGGAATAGGCTCGTATATGAGCTCCTCCCCGGGTTGCATGCAACTTGTAAACACGGGAACCTGGTCTCCAAACAAGCTTTTCCACTCGGTACTGAAGTTATTTTTGAGCTTTTGATCTAGTTGGTCCTGGGGTGAGCTCAATGCATGTGTCAGTAAAACAGTGAGTTTATAACACACTACAAAATCACCTGAAGCCATGCTTTGTCCCCTTTGTCCCACATTCTATCACCATAAACCCGGAAGCACTCGTGGCAAAACAACTGCAACATTATGTCCTTGCTGACGTACAAGGCTTTGTTGGCCTGAAGTAGCCCTTGGATAACCTGTATTAAAACAAAACGTGAGTTTACAAGGAAGAACAAAATCCTGAAGTACCTTCGCAAGGTCACGCATGTTAAAAACATAATGACTTTTGCTCGGTATAGGCAGCAGCTCCTGGCATATATTGTTGTGCAGCTCGATACACGTGTTGATCAAATTATCACCCAGAAGCCTTGCTTCATCCTCAAAAGTTAAAAGTTTTGCAGTAAGAATAGCTCCGAAAATACGCTTCATTTGTTGGTCATTCGGAGTTGTCAGGTTCACCTACATAAAAAAGATCAGTTGCAGGCCAGTAAAAAGAAAATACAAACCTTACCAGTGAGAAACAGGCTTGAACGCGCTGAGAAATAAAGTTCCGACCACCACCAGGTGGAGCCATGGCAGCAAGCAATTGCATATCCTTAACATGCTTCACCTCTTGCTTTTGACGATCGTACCAGAAACCATTGTCCATCCAGAGTTTTAGGAGTTCCAATGGCGGTATAAAACCGAACTGTAAGGATGATCAGTGAGCGATGTTAAGCCAAATCCTTGCATGTGTACCTGACTCTTCTTAGGCATATTGAAGTCATCCAGGTAACAGACTAGCCGCTTTCCGCCAGCGGGGGCAAACACTCCTTTGGTTCTCTTCTCGAGCCTACCTTCAATGGTATCCTGAAGGCACAAAGATTAAGCTACGTTAGCATGATATGTGACAAACCTGTAAGCTGTTTGAAGAAGTCTGTGCAGAAAAGTTGATGATCATCGGACCAAAGCCTTCTGGAAGGGCGCGCAAAACTGATTGAGAAATCAAAGTCTTTCCGACCCCTACTCTTCCAACAATCATAGAATGCCTCCTTGCTGCCACAAGCGTTTTGATTACATAGCTTGTTCTCACCTACAGGAGAGCCACAAATATCATTTTCTACATGTTGTATATGTAGCTCCTTACCGTGTCAACTGTTGGAACTTGAATTTTGAAAAAGGGTGCTCCCACAGGAATTTTGTACGCGGTAGACAGCTTTTCTTCCCAGGGAGTAAATCCCTTCTTCTTTGGATCCACGAAGTAGTCATACACTGTTCCAGCAGCAGGAAATCTGTCCAACAAAAAGGTAAAATATGAAGGCGGGGGAATAATCTGCGTACCTTGGATCAGAATCTCGTATGTACATGTCAAAGGCCTTCCGCCCTTCCTCGTCAACACTGGCTCCTATAGACCAGATTATGCTGAATAGGAACCAATTCTCGATCATAGGAACGTACTGGTCTCCTTCATGTTTAGAGACACCGTTTTCAAAAGTTGCTAGTGCATCGAACAGCTTGCAGAAGCTTGCCACACCATTCAAGTTGTCAATGGCTACTGTCTCTCTGCACTTCTTTTTACGAAATGCATTTCCAGAGTCTATATACTTCTCAAGTAAACTGCGTACTGTCTTGATCAATATCTGTACAATAAGATACGACAGTTTAGAAAACGACTGGATCTTACATGACATTAGTTATACCTGATCAGCACCAGCAGCAACTTTACGTTGTAACCATGATTCCGCAAATGGCCACCATCCCAAGTCTTCTACATTCAAATATATCATTCCTGCTCGACTCACAGTAGCCGGTGATGCTTGTGACAAGTCCTCCACTTCAAAGACCAAGGAGACCTGTATAGCAAGTTCGTTCATAAGCCCCATGGCCAAGGTAGTAAGAAAATGGATGCAAAATACATACCACGTTCGGCATAGATATACGCTCTCCGTTCAGCAGCGTAAGAATTTTGTTGTCGTCTAACAACGTATTCATAGACTCGATCCACAAGGTGTCCACCGGGCCATCGAACATCATCCACTTGTTATCTGATGTCTCGTCAGCGCAGACGTTTCGCATAATGTTGGCAAGGACCCCGTCCACCCATTCGTTTGTCAGCTTGCTAAAAACTCCGTAGATCTCATCGTTGGATAGCGCGAGAGAGTTCATTATGTAAACGTGGACTCTCTCAAAATTCTCGACACCTTCCTTTTTGAGACGCCCGGAGGCACGCTGAAGAGCTCTCCAAGACTCTGTCTTTCCAGAGCCTGTTCGGCCTACCAACATATTTCCGTGTCTTGCCAACATGCAATCGTAGAGCTGCACAGCATTGAAACGTCAGAACAGACCAGGAGCAAATGACAAATACCTGAATGATCTTCAAAACAAATGCGTTCACTACTTGTAACCCTTTCGCCAGCAGCTCTTGCTCCAAAGCACGCTTGAGCACGTCGTTTTCCTTGGGTGGTAAATCGACTCCAGGGAAGAGATCCGTGAGAAGCGCGTTGAACAGTGGAATGTCTGCGTAGATAAGCTTTGGCATGATTAAGTCCCTCATAGAAGCCATAAGAATAACGTCTTCCACCATCTCGGGATCAACTCGTTTTGTTGCTCCAGCAGCTCTTGCGATTGGAATAACGAAAGACCTCAAACCGTAATCGTAATGGTCTTGCTTCGAGAGTTGTCTCTGTGAAAGCTCCATAATGGCGACCAGTTTTTTAGCCAGCGCCTGGGAGAACATAATTTGAGAACCAACACATAATATTTTAAGAAGAGCCTTTTACCTTAGCCGAGCGAAATCCCTCACTGAAAAGCATGTTTTCAGCAATGAGAGTGAAGTCAGGAACCATCATAGAAACGGGCCGGAGCATAGCTTTTAAGTTCTCTGGCAGTTCACTACGACCGGCATATCCAGGATTCATCGTCACAAATATCCCGCATGTCTTGATCAGGCGCATTTCAACACCTTCGAAAACAAAGCGCTTTAGTTCTGCCTTGATAGCTGCCATAACACAAGCGATCTGTGTGGCAACGACAGACAACACTTCCACCTCAATACGATTAAACTCGTCGAGACAGGCCCAGGCTCCAGTCTGCGCTAATCCGGCAAACATCTTTCCAGTCATTTTGTAGTCAACTCCGTCTGAGCAGTTAAACACAATAACGTATCTGCCAAAAGCGCAAGAGGAAAAAGAGTGAAGTTTAAGCGTGCAAGCTAGTACCTAGCAAGAGCTTTTCCGAAGTCCTTGACAGTCTCAGTTTTCCCTGTTCCTGCAGGACCTAAAGGATTTCCTCCTCGCCGGGTAAACAATGCCGCACCAAGGGTGATGTAGCATCGATCAGTCAAGGGTGTAATAACAAGTCGACCGTTGTTGCCTTGATACTCGTAACCATAAGAGAACACGGATAACACCTACAGTGGCCGTTGTTAGAAATAGAGGCGAAGGTTTGCGAAGAATTAACAACAGAACAGAGCTAGTACCTGTCTGATTGCACAGTCATCGTTCTCCCAGTAGAACCGTAGCTGAGACGCCCATTCGAAATCGTTTGGCGACGAGCAGCCAACTTTCATAAGCTTCTCAATGACATCTCGCGCATGCACTTCGATAGTAATCAGAGATGTCTGCACGGGAAGAAAACCAAGAAACAATTTAGAGAACTCGATCAACTTCTTCAATGAATATACTTACAACTTTGTTCCGGTCGATTTTTGAAAGCCGGGAGCGAGTCATGTCTGTAAGCTTGTTTAGGTAACTCAGCCACTTTTTCATTAGTTTGCGAACTGATGTTTTGTTAGTTTCCGCTCCTGCTAGTGCCTTCTCACAATCTGCTGTCCATTTTATCTGACCCGCACTGTAGTCGATAGATTAGAACTAGTTTTGCGAGTCAGGTTGGAAGTATTACGTGATAATGCATTGTCCTGCATTTTCTTTAACCCATTTGTCTTTCTTCGCAAGTTTACTGTCCTCGAGCGCTTTTCGCAGATAAACTTTTACAGCCGTTGTCATGGCCGCTTCTACCTGTGAACAACACAACTTAGACTACCTTCAATAATGCCGGGTCAAAGCATCTTACTCTGTTAAGCCACTCCTCTGGCGGTGTGTTTAAAATGATAAGATCTGAGAAAGGAAGATATTCTCCATCCGGAGAAAATATTCCAGTCGTATCGTATTGTCGTCGTCCTTCCTCTCCTGGAGCATGCATTTCCAGCCTCTTTATTCCCTCGAAGCACTTCTTGAAATGTGGCTGTAGGTACAGCAGAGAGTGTTGGTTTAGAAAATAAAATAAAACCAACCGTTGTATGGAAACAAACCTGAACATTGCGCGGATCTTTTGCTTGACCAAGAATCTCCAAAAGGTTATCGCTAGAAAGGAAGTAGAAGCGAGGGAATTGCTGCCGCTTCTGTTCTAGATAGTCCTCCAGTGACTTCTGGATCTTTTCCAGCTTGGCCTCCATGTCCATCAAAGACTCGAGCAAGCCTTTTACAGTAAGTGCTTTTGTGACTAGTTTGTTGACCTGAAGAGAAAAAATTAAGAGAGAAAAACAAAAAGAGAGGAAAACATACATATAAACCCTCCAATGCAGCAATGAACACTGTGTTAACTCCATCGAACATGGCAGTCTCCGCAGGCAGTTGCTTCCGAATGTCTTCAGAACCAACAAATATATTTTCCAGGTATGCCCAGGACCGTGAAACCTGTAACGAATTGGAAGCTTCGAGATAATAATCCAAATGTTTGGCTTACCTGCACCACCATCTCTATGGTTTCTGAGACAAGACTAAGAGTGCGCTCCCACTGGTTGATATCTTTCGCGAAGAACAAATGTGCCCGATTTCCCTTCATTGAAGACAAAGACACTCTATGCTCTTCTAAAACAGCAAAAACATCTTCAGTGCTTTTGAGCTTGTAAATCTGCATAAAACCAAGCGCTTTCACACAAAAAACACAGTAAAATCATGTTTACCCTCGGAGCATCGCGATAGATTCCCATATCTAGCTCCATTGTCTCCCACACTTCTTTGATTTTTATAATGGATTCCTCTATTGCAAGCTCTTTGCTCGCCATGCTACTTAAGTCGCATATTGCTTCTCCATGTAAATCAAGACGCAACTCAGCAACCTACGAAAGACAAATACAGGAAATTAGAAGAAATTTCATGAAGAAAGTATATCTCACACCTTAGCAAGCGTGAAGGTGCTAGAATATGGATCAAATCTTTGGCCAACAGTTTCCATCAACTGCTCCCAATGTCGCAACCTCATTGCAGGATTTCTCAAGTCGACTGTAAGGGGGAGAGTTGATTTAAAAGCATCAATCGTTTCCTTGAGGTCTTGCCACACCGGCCATCTGTTACACATTAGAGCTGAAGGTAATCTTCAAAAGCATAATCGCTTACCCTTTGGTGTCGCGTCCAATCTTGAAGACACGCTTGCTAAAGATTGACGCAGAGGACTCCATGGAGGCAGCATCAAGCTCACTGAAAAGACAATCCTTCCAACTGTCGAAGGCTTCCTGCCATTCCCGTTTGAGGAACCACATTCCCTTCAGTAGCTCCAATTCTTTAAGTGTAGCAGCATTATCTTTATTCGACAGTTTCTCCATTCCAAAAATGCTCATGCCTGCCCAAAGACTCTGCGATCGTTGCTGAAAAACTTCAACCTGCGAAGAGAAAGAGAGAGAGAGAGAAAAAAAATTAAGGTTCATGAGGCAGACGGTGTTTCAAAAAATACCTTAGCAGCCTCTTCTTCAATGAATTTTACTGCATCGGGAATAGATGTCGCCGTAGTAGTAGGATAACGATCGACAAAAGACACTCTGGTCTCCGAAACCTACAAAATTGCACCATTAAATTGTGTCTCAAGTCCAGTTTCGTAAGGCACCTCTTTAACGAAGGTCTCCACCATCTTGCAAATAGTTTCATAGAAACCAGCCTTATACTGCTCTAGTACTCCTTCCAATTCTTGAAGCATAGTTTGAAATGCTTCCCATTCCACTGGTAAATTTTCTAGGAGCAGTTTTTCATCATCGGGTATCATAACCTGAAAAGTTTAGCTATCAATTACAAGGCGAGGCGGTTGACAGCAGCATACCTCAAACTTGAAAAGTGTATCGTACTTCTCATCTATAGGAGTGAACTTGGCTTCCATGGCAGATCTTTCGTCCACCACAGCTCTCCATTCATTGACAGTTTCTGTGAGCTGATCGAGAGTCTCAGGTTTTCTTTTAAGTTGCTGCTTGTTCCTACAAAGCACAAGCTCACTAATCTTGCGAAACAAGATATAATACTTACTTTTCCATGTACGCATAGATAGACTCCAACTCTGTTTTAGCTATCGTATTGAGCAACGTTCTGTGCACAAACGCAAAGTTTCAAAAAAAAAACAGTCCTTTCTGTGATTGCCAGTTTCCTTACGTAAATTTGGAGACCCAGGCCACGCAATGCGATATGATCGCTTGTTTCAAAGGACCACAGTCAATACGCAAAAATCTCAAGTTCGTTATGCCTTCTTCACCCTGTTATATACTTGACATCACGTATCCAGTCAATCAGATTGTAAAAGTATACCTGCACATCTTCCTGCAGATCTCGATACTTTACAATGTCACTTTCAAAAGCAGAAAGTGGTTTCTTTGCTCGCTCGTACCTGCATATGAGCCTTGTAAGGTTTCCATAAAGACGAGCTCAAACCTTCGTATAAACGCGTCCTTGTCTTGGTCCCAAATGCTTCTGTATTTCTTTTCCCAGTACTGAAGGTAGTGCTGAACTTTATCAGTTATTCCAATTACACCAGCGGTGATCATCATAAGGATCTCCTCTTGATCGGGACCGATGACCTGAAGAACACATTCTGTTAAGCTCAGAGAAATTAATGAAGAGACAAGGAACCTCATAAAAGCTAGGAAGCGCTTCTTGAAAGCTGGCTTGTTTCCTCAAACGAGGAACTACGGAAATGACAGTGACAAGTTCTCTAGCAACGATTTGTATCATCTCCAAAAGTTCCTGCAATTTCCATAGGCAACCGTCAATCTTCCAGTGACAAAGCCTAGTCTTAGCAGACGAACCTGCACCGATGGCATAAGCTTAACGCGCCCTGTTCCTTTATCCAGTACTCCAATGGCATTAAACATTGGCGTAGAGGACTTCGTATCAGCGTTCAGAGCGTTGGATAGTTCATTCAAGGATTTTGTCACACAATTTCTTAGTGAATTTTCCATGAAGACTTCCACCTGGTATTGTAAAACTGCAAAACTGAATGCATCATTAAAAATAGAAGAGGTACCTTCTTGTTATAATCTTCCCACTTATTATGTACTTCAACCATATCGCTTGCACATTTCTTGTTAGAGAGAGCAATCGTATCTTTGATGCTGAGGTAAGCCTTCTCAAAACGGCCTCGCATGATACCGCGGTGCTCAACTTGCTTGGATGAAAACTCTGCCAAGTCATATATTCGTTTCTTGTCGATGCTGATTAACCACGAGTCACTGATCGAATTACAAATCTGATTGATCTTTCTCTTCGCCGCTCGAAAGAGCGCTGTTGATGCAAAGAGGACATGATTTTTAAAGCGAACCTCTTGTAGAAAATGCTCGAGCTCGTGTGCAGAAGAAGTCCACGTAAGCTAAAGAAAAAAATAAACATCAGATCGCACTCGAAGAATGAATGCAACTATACCCTATCCAAGGCTGGACTGATGCTGTTTCTAAGCCGAACAACGTGCTCAGCTATTAGTCCTCCTTCTTCAGTATCCAAATTATCAATCATCTGCATGAAGAAGTTGCAATACGAGAAATTTCGAACCGCAACCGAACCTTATTACAGTCACGGATCACTATGAGAACATTAGCTCGAAGAACGCAAAGATCTTTATTATCTTCAATGAAGCTTGTAGCTACTTCCGGGACATCCCAGCCAAGGGATTTCCAGTAATGAACCTGCTTGCAGCAAGTTAACATGCCTCATAAGCAAATGGCCTTTGAAACTAACCTCCTGGTAGATAGCAAGCAGTTGAGGATCGAACTTTAGAACGTAAAATCCATCGCCACCATCCTCCAGCAAGCTTCTTTCAAGCCTTTTTGGAAGAAGAGGATCAACACTGGCTGTCCATTCAGCATGCTGGTTCTGTACAAACTGCACGAGAAAAAAACAGGAACAACAACATCAATTTTCGAAAAGGATTTCTTCGGTCGCATAGTACCTGTTCGATCGAAGCCATTATTTGAGAAAATTGCGTGTGAATGTCAGCAGCATCTGGAGTTTCGAGCAAATACGGCGCCGCATTGGTTAAAAGCATCATAGGCTTCTTAAGTCGACGTTGAAACTGCAAAGCCCAAGTAGCTCCACCGGCAAATCGCGGCAAAGCATAGTCCATCAAAGGACGTCTACGAAGTTGATCGAACTGCTTCTTCATAATCATTAACTCCATACTAAATGCTTGACATACCTGTACTTTCAGATTAGTTTTTGCCTTGCAAATGGAAAACCTCCAAATTACCTGAGATCCCATTCTGTCAACGCACTTGCATATAGATTCCCTACACGCCAGTAACTTAAATGCCTCCAGCAACTCTATGCTTTCCGGCAATGAAGACGAATGACGAAACGCGAGGGACATAATATTTTGCATCAGTACCTGTATAGAACACAAAGAAGGTAAACTCAGGTTTGAACTTGCATGGCTTACCTCAAGATCTTGAATCCCACTTTTAAACTTTGCAAAATCGTCGTGCCACCGTGTCACTCTCACGTCGAGCAAGTTATACGAAAGCGAGCGCAACCCCGAGACAAGTTTTTGAAATGTGTCCTGAAGCTCGAACATCGACTTGGTAATCTCTAAACCTCTTGTTCCTCCAAAGACTGGCAACTTCATTCGCGTTGAAAACTGTCTTTGCGCATCACAAACCTGCCACGGCCGAAGTTGGTTGAAACATAGTTGCAGACGTGCCATACCTCCAGCATATCCCGACACCGTTGCAGGAACGCTTCGACTGCAGCGAAAACACTTCGATCGACAAGCTCGTTGTCGTCCTTGAATTCACCATCGTGTGCCGCTGCAGCCCTCATCATGGCTACGTACATGTGCTTCCACGATTCACAGGCTTGGACGCTCTCAAGAAGAGCCTTTTTGCACTTATCCACGTCCCCATCAAAAATCTCTGACAGAGGGATGCCCGCAGAACACCTGCTTATTATCTCGTTACTAACCTGCAGAAGAACGTCCAGTAAGCCGCACAGTACAAAACAGTTCGTCTAAGTACCTTGGCGAAGAGACCACTAATTTTCTCATCTGTGTTATAGAACGGACTGATCTTCCAGATCATCCGGATGCACTTCAGCAACTTCGGCAGAGCAAATGGAATGTCGACAATTTTTGCTGCTCCCAGTTCCTTGCAAGGATCCTCTATCGTCACTAGGAATTTCAAGTTCTCTTCTGCAACAACAGCTTCTTGCTCGATCTTTCTAGATAAACTAGAAAACGGAGAAAGGTACGCAGATTTGAGTTTCTCAAGAATTTTCAAAATCGCAGCTACACCCTGCATTTACCCAAGTCTGAGTATCAGAGTGACGCAACATATACATTACCGATTTAAGGAAATGCCTTCCAAGGAAGGATCAAGAATATTTACTGAATGATTTATTTGCTCCCGAATCCCACTTAAGTCGATACTACGCCGTCTCCAAAACTCCACTTCTGCTAAAGGTCCGGATATCTCCACTTCGGAGAACCGCTCCTGATTCCTAATAACCTGGAAACCTTAAAAGAACAGTCAGTCTCATTCCATACAGATTTACCTCTTTAATCTGTCGAGTCCATCGAATCACAATGGACTCCAGTCGCTGAGCCAATTCTTTGTCAGGAGCTTGATTCCCGACGAAGTCCATCAGCCGCACCGGAGGAATGTACAAAATCGTCTGACCCTTTGCCTCGAACAAAGACTCTGTCAAAGTAGCCATGAACTTGTCAAGCTCTCCGGCAAAGTCTTTGGTGATGTTGGCTCGCAATGTGTCATCTTCCAGCATAAGTGGAAGATACATGTCCTGCAAAGAAAAACAAAACCAGAACTTTGTGCTATCGATCTGACAAACACATTCTCACCTGCATCAAGCGAAGCATTGCATCGCCCGGGCTTCCATTGATCACCTGGCACTGGACGAGCTTCTGGATGCTACGCGCTTTAAAAGGTTGCGTTGTGTCACGCATAAACACAAGAACCTATCAAAGAGGACAAGGAGAAAAACTCCCCACTCACTCTAGAATCGATCGAAATATTTCCAGAGCTTACCTCGTTCCATCTGGAAGGCAGCGTCGGCGTGCAATGAAGCTGCCCTGACGAATCCAGGTAGCAAAAGAGCCTGGAATTCTCATTCTGGTGAAGAAATCCCGAGACGATCTTCGCGTGCTCGTCGTTCCAAGCCGCCTCCGCGCCGATGAGCCGCATTTTCCTGCGCATCCACCCTACCTCCTCCTCCTCCTTCTTCCCTTCCATGGCGGACGCGGCGCGAGAGCCCGAGCTCGGGCGCTTTCATCAGAAAAACCCAGCCCTAGTTAAAATTCCGTTGAGGAAGCCAAAGAATATCCTTCATTGCGCAATGAGCATATGCCCCTCCTTTCAAACAAAGGAAGCTATCAACAAACATACAAGTTACAAATGGAACGCTATGAGTCTCTCGTCGCGGCGATTAGCATCTCCTTGAGTCTCACAGTGAGCTCCTCGAAACTTGGGCGTTCTTCCCAAGCACTGCAGAAACATATACTCTGTGTAAGAACTCGTTCACTCACGAAGAAATGAAGAACTCGGGAAGAATCCATTCATTCATTCACTCGGAAGAATTCATTCACTCCCGAGGAAAGGAAGAACTCATTCACTCGCGAAGAAAGGAAGAACTTTGTACCTTTTCCAACAGTCTTGTATCGTGGCTGCGTATTTTGGATCCAAGCTCTCGGGCAGTGGCATCCTTTTGTCTTTAAATCCCACCACCGCTATCACCTAGAGCAACAACACAAGAATGTGAAGCTTTGATCAAGGATCGAGGAGAAGACAATACTAACCTGTAAAGGATCCAAGTCTTTCCAAGGGACTTCTTCCGTAGCCAGCTCCCATAGTATCACCCCGAAACTGTACACGTCCGACCTGAAATAAAACGGAGCAAAACGAGAAAAGAACAGATTAGCAACACACACAGAGCCGATTTCGCAGCTCTCACATGCATACTTTTCACTCGAAGCCTCGCTCCGGAGAACCTCAGGGGGCATCCACTGCGACTGAAGACATCAAAGTGGCTTGTCAGGAATCAAATCAACCAAAGGAAAGATTTACCGTTCCCATCCGTGCGTTCCCCGTCAAGAAGTTGGAGTGCTTCAATCGCGAAAGGCTGAAATCTCCAACCTGATACATTTCCCAGTTTTAGCAGCGCTTAAAGCCTCTCCTCAGAGAGTTACCTTGACTTTGAGATTTTTATCAACCAGTAAGTTTGTAGACTTGAGATCGCGATGAACTATAGGTGGTGTGCAGTTGTGAAGGTAAGTCATCCCGCGAGCCTGTAAAATGGAGCTAAAATCTCGACAAAAGAGCAAACTATGGCAATACCAACCACGTCCAAAGCCATGCTCAGCTTTCGCTTCCAATCCAAACCCGTTGGCCTTCTGTGAAGCAACTTAAACAAACTGCCCCTGAAGAAGAAAAAAAAGCCATTGTGAGATTCTAAAGTAACAAATTTGTACCTGGGCATAAGCTCGGTTACGATGTAAAGCCGATCCTGAGTCGAGGCAGCACCGAGGAAAAGAACAATATTGGGATGTCTTAACTTTTTCATGATTGAAACCTATACTAAGCATATTAGTCTCCAGGCACTCGTAGAAATGGCGTGCTCTACCTCTTTCCGAAAGTCCTCCATGCCACTCTCGTTGTACTGAAGTTCGTGAAAGACCTTCACTGCCACGTCCTACACATACATTGTTAAGACTATAACAAAAAACTTTGAACGTACCAGTCCACACCAAGTCCCACGGTGAACTGTTGCACAGCTTCCTGGGAGATAGAGAAAACTTACAATCAGAGAAAGAGAGGAAAACACTAACGTACCTTGACCAATTTGATCGTGCAAGCTGAGCGATTCCCAAGTGATCTCATACTCTGGACTTTCTAGATCATCCCAGACGTGCCTGCTTGAACTACTGCTAGCCGTGCCTGTGCTACTCATACTACTATTGACATCCATGCTAACGATCGGTTGATTTGATGCGGGAGCCTCCGGATGTTCATGCTCGTCCTTCCGCAAAACAGCCGCCGCAGATGCCAACTCTGCCTCTGTATTAGACCAAGGCCACAGCCGACCCGTCCACGACCCCGATCTCGATCTTAAACCAGCGAAGACTCTGCTAGCCTGTGTCAAATCCTCACCACTGCTGCTTCCTCCAGCAGCAGCAGGATTTACCTCCATAGCGTTCCCTCGCAGGTGCGTTAGAATCTTGGTTGCCTGCACGGACAAAACACCAAGCGATAAAACACAAAGAAAACAAAACCTTGACTTTTACCAGGCTTGAAAATGTCGCGGCAAAGGGTATTTGCCACGAATCAGCTTGCGCGAAGTCCCTGCTCTTCATAAACGGCCGTGCATCGCTCGACACACAAATCACCCCGACGAGCTTCCCGTCGTTGTCGTAAAACGGCGTGTTTGTCATCATGGCAGGAAATATCTCGCCGGATTTTTTTTTGAGTGAGAACTGGCCGACCCACGACTCACCGACATAGAGTCGTGACAAGATCTTGGTGGCGCTCTCCACGGCGCTCTTGTCGATCAGAAGCTCAATGAGATCGCGACCGATGGCCTCGGCGGCGGACCAGCCATATAAGCGCTCGGCCATGCGGTTCCTACGCAAAAAAAAAATTCCATTACCACCGAGCAAAGAAGAAAAAAACTACGCTAGAGAAAAGAAACATGGAAAAGAAACCAAGGAAAGGAACCCGCAACAAAGAAAAGAAAAAACCAGCAGGAAAACAAACCAAAGAAGAAAGAAAAACGAGAGATCATGTACCAGTATGTCACCTCAGAAGAAGTCGTGAACATATAAACGGCCTGTCCCATGGACTGGAGAATGTCGTTGTAGCGATCCTCGGCCATGGAAAGCGATTTTAGATCCAGCGCAGCGCGCAAATCCTTGTCCGAGAGCTTCTCCGAGGACGTCCTTCTCGGCCCGGACGAGTTCTTTGGAGGAGGCGACATGGACATAGATCTTCTTACGTGCCCCGCTGACGCTTCCTCTTGCTGGAGCCGGAGCGCCTTGACAACTCGCTCCCTCTCCTCTAGAATTTTTTTCATCTCCCGTTCTAGCTTGGTGTGTCTCTCCTCTAGCCTTCTAATCTCCTCCTGGAGGGAAGAACTACATTGCCCCGGCTCCACCTCCTCGGCCACTGGAGCGTCCATTTCCCCCCAAAATCCAGCCCCGAAGCTACAATCCACCAACACGAACCCTTGCCCTGGATTCCAGCCGCCAAGAACCCTCCGATCTCCTGCGTCCGGGAGCTAGCAGCAGCTTCTTACCTCTCATCGTCGCATCCCGGCGCGCCGGATGGATCCGCCACAACCTAATCCTCTCCGCGGCGCTCACCGGATCAAGAATGCGCTCCAGACGGGCCGGGGCGGAAATCCTTGCCGCGCTCGCCTGGAAGAGCATAGATCCATGCTCGCCGCCCCAGCGCCGACGAGGAGGCGGCGCGCTAGCCCGGATTATCGCCCCTGGAATGGAGAAATCGGTCAAGAATCCAGCCTTGAGAGATTGATTGACAGCGCGAGCGCTAAGTTCTCTTTCCTGCCAGGGAACTGTGGACCTTTACGCCAATCATGCACATCCCAGCCGTTGATCTCGTAGCTAGATCAGAAATAGAAATGGCGGCCTGACCGTTGGATCCCATAGATCGTAGCCGTCCGTAGCGAAACGGGTGCGTTTGGCCGGAAATAAGAATGTGCTTTTCTCTAGGGCAGATAAGAAGCTTCTAAGAAAAGCACGAGGAATATTCACAGGCATAGTTAGAAGCCCTAGTTCTTGATGCGATGATATTGCGACGACCATGAAGGCTTTGCTCCTTTCGATCGCGGCGATCTTCTTCCTCTCGCATGGAGCGGCAGCTAGAATCGGCATCGGCGACGAAGAGCGGGTAGGGAATTTCAGAGATTTCTTCGGCAGCGCAGCGGCCGATCCAGCCGATGGAGCCGAGGCAGGGATTCTCGTCACGCTCTCCGAGATGGGGATCAGCTACGTCCGCGAGGTTCTCGTCGATAGCGTGCTCCAGGATTTGACGCCGCTCAATCTGCCGAATGTGAAGCGGAGGGTGGAGTGGCCGATTGGAATTGTGGATGTGGAGCTCAAGAACATTGTCATTGTTTATGCCAACGTATCGTCATCGAATGTAGATCTCGGGAACACAGGGATCTGGTTCAATGCTTCAGGGGTCGAGACCAAAGTCTCGCTGGATTGGAAGTACACTTACACGGCATCACTGATTCCATTTCCCATCTCTGATAGTGGCACCGCGACTGCAAAGGTAAGAAAGGTTTTTGCTTGTTTCAGAGACTTCGACTTGATGAAAAAACCATTTTTTTTCTTAAAGGTGAACGATGGAGACGCATGGTTGCAAGCTACAATGCAACAAAAGAATGGAACACTGTCCATTCAGGTGACCGAGTGTAACACCGACTTATCGTCACTAGATTTGGAGCTGCAAGGCGGACAGTCGTGGCTCTACCAATGGTGAGTTTATTTTTTCTTGTCGAGGAGCTAGAGGGGAAGATCATTAACAAAGCTTCTTTGTTGCTTGCCAGGTTCGTTTATGCGTTCAAAGGACAAATACAAAAATCTGTCGAGTCTGCGCTTACGACACAGGTTCTCGCCGCTGTGAGTCGGCTAAATCGTTTGCTGCTCAGCTTGCCCAGGCAGCTCCAAGTGGACACCACTTCAGCCGTTGATGTCACGGTTGTCGACGATCCAATTCTCAACCAAAACTATATCAGCGTCGGGGTGATGGGGGAGTTTGTAGATATCGCTTCCCCCAGCGAAAGAAAGCACCCTCCAAAGAAGCTGCCAGCCGGATTATTATGCATTGATTCAGATGTGAAGATGATCACTGTGGCTCTTGGAGACTACGTTATTACCTCCGCGTCGGACGTGTACTATAAAGTAAGTCTGCAACGCTTTTGTTTTGTTTTCTATTTTTCGTTAGTGCTCAATGGCTTTCACAGGCAGGACGATTAGAGAGGGTCGTGGATAGACTTCCACAGCAGTCCCTCCTCAATACTGCAAGTTGGAGATTTCTGATTCCGCAGCTGTATCGCAAGTTCCCAAACGATGATATGTTACTCAACCTTTCTGCTGCTTCTGCCCCCCGGGTTTCTTTTTCAAGGGATGGGATTCGTGCGACCACTACGGCTGACATGACAATAGAGGTGGTGGACAACAACGAGATTATTCCAGTAGCTTGCATAAGTCTGGTACGATCATACAGAATTCTTCCACTTTGCTTTTTCTTTGCTTATTCTTGTACTTCACTTTAGGAAGTTACGCTACATGCTTTGGCCGAGATTGTTGGCACTAACATCACTGGCGAGGCCTCACTTTTGGACTTGAGCCTGGACCTCAAGTGGAGTACTATAGGCACTTTTCCAGTAAAGTTCGTCGAGGTAAGCGCCTACTGTTTCTTTCACATTATCTACCTAAAACGTTTGTTGCAACAGGTAGCGACGAGAACCATCCTCAAAGACGTGATTCTACCACTGGTGAACTACAATCTCAAGAAAGGTTTCCCGCTGCCCGTCATTCCAGCGATCGAGTTCCAAGAAGCAACCATTAGATACGAAGACGATTTCCTGCTAATCTGTACAGACATCCGCTACACAGGCCTTCCGCTCCCTCCTCCCGTCGCTCCTTCGTGGTCCACCATCTAAAGAGGTACATATCGGTCAAATGCAACTCCTTTTCTTCTCGAAAGCCATCACGTTGCTCTTTTTTTCTTTTTTTTTTGTCTTTTTTCTCATATTGTTTTTCTTTCGCAGATAAAATCTGTAGCATATTCCCCGCGGTTTACGAAAAAGCGGGGCGTCTGTTTCCATCCCTGTCTGTCAAGCGAGACAAAAATGTTGAAATGGAGCCTCTGACAGATTGCTCAGCCGCGGTACGTCGACATTCTCGGCGTATATAACTTGTGGTGTGTACAGGATCATAGGAGAGAAATAAGTGAGCGTTGGGACAGTCCATTTCTCCATTCGTCGCGGTGAGTACCTTTCATAGTTTTTGGTTGCGGTGGCTCCACAAGTTTTTGTGAAGAAGAGACAAGCGAGCCGTGCTACTTGTCCTCAAACTCGAGATCAAGCCGAGCTCTTTAGACAAAAAAAAATTGGCGAGAAGAGCTTGATTACATGCGACAGGACTTAAGAACAAGCAGCACACGCATTTACGTTTGTGCCCACTCTAAAACTGGTATCGGTTGGTTGTTTTGGCCAGATTTTTTTGCGCGTCGGCTGCTTGCAATCGCCCTCCAAACCCATTGGAGTTTCTTTCACTCTAAAAATTTGAGAAAGCTGCCAGTCACCCACTGGGATGTTCTGTCATTACTATATTTTCCTCATACGAATCATAGTTTCCTATATTGTCAATATCAATCGCTAGCGATCTAGGCTATAATATTGAGCTTTCAAAACAGGCTGTATGGAACAATCGCGGATTAACTCACGAGACAAGGCTGTGGAGAATCACAACATGGGAGTATCTTTGCGGGCCTGCTGCTGGAAGAACAGTTTTTTCTATGGACTTATTCCCAGTCCATAAAATCTAAGTTTCCAGTCGGGGGAGCTGCGTGGTGCACAAACGCCCACGACGCCACATCGCTTTCTCTTCTGGGTGCTATGACTGTGTCCTTTAGAAAAATGGCCCTTCGCTAAGTTGGCCGATCAAGAATCTTTGGAACAAAGAGAAAAAAGTATTTTTTTGCTAGTTTTCCTTTTGACAGGCAGGCTGATCAAACAAAGAAAAGAAAAAACCCTTCCATGGTTTTGCTGGTTTTCCTTTTGACAGGTAAAATCTCGCGGAAGAAGCCTTTCAAAGGCTGCCACTCTTTGGTCTGCTTGGTTTGCTCGCTTTAAACTTATCCCTGGGAGCCAGGGCTCTCCTTTGGACGCTACTCCTTGTCCACGAACAAGGAATGGACGGCGATGATAGATAGATGCATAGACATTGCGAAAAATTTGATCTCACGCGCCCACAATTCCTCGAGAAATCCGCGTTATTGTCCCTTCATGACATGGATAGCTACAAAGAAAATGCACAGAAGAAACAAACCTTGGGTACACGTGTCACGCTCGTGGCCGATCAAGCTGCTGACGTGACATGACCGCGGCGCCGCGCTTGACGTCCTACCAGCTGGCGGTGTGGGCCTTTCAAAGTCACGTGGCCCTACCATAACCACAAAAAGCACATGGAATATGCTAATGAGATGCTTTCCCTGGATCAAAGCCACGTGAAGACTATATCCATTTGGCCGAAGCATAATCCAACATTCCCCTGGTTTGTTTTAGTCGGGACAAACACGATTTTGTCAACTCCTTAGCCCTAAAAAAGCTTTTGATTCGATGACGTTTTGCAAACCATGCAAGGGAATCGAGCAAACGTTGTGGGCCATGGACATGAAATATAATCTCGATTTGGATTATTGCAAAGAAAGGGACATCCGCTTGTAATGTGTCGATCGCAATAGTCCCAATCACACCAATCAATCAAGACCCTTTTCTTTTCTCCTTTTTATCTACCCCACATAGTAAATTCTTGCCCTAATTTTGTCACACCGCGCCTAATTTCCCGTGACCCTCTTTCTTCTTTCAAGCAGGCAACCCACCACAACCGCTTACAATGCAATGTTTCAATGCACTCTGTAGATATACATAGCCAGGCATGTGAATGTGAACAGTAACAGATAAAAGAAAAAAGAAAGCAACCGAAGGTAAAAAGGCAACACGATTCGAACACGAGATTTCCGGGAGCTTTCATTTCAATCCGCAATGGAAGATTCGCACCTCACCGGCTACACCCGGTGCTCACAGTCCTTCAGTACTGGAAGAGCCGGTCACTTTCCTCTTTGTCTCTTTGTTCTAGCGAAGAGTGTGGCGAGAACAAGCCGCCATAGATAATAGATGGCGAGTTCTTCCCTCTTTCCTTCTCATTTCCTGGCAGCGATTTTCCAAGAGGAACTGCCGCAGAGAATCCTCCGCGCCTGAAACGCGGCCCTGGATCGAGAAAGGGAGAAGTTCTCTTACAATTCGCTGGCTTTGAGCTCCAACCAAGTCTCCTGGCCGGGAATTCATGGCAAATCCGCCAATGCGTGCTCCACTGGAATGCAGGTTGACACAGGAGGATCCAAACCACCGCCACCATTTTAGTCGTCGCGGCCTTATCCACACAGGGCCACAGCGGGGACTACTCATAGTAGCTCAAGAACAGCACTAGGAATCGCAAGCCGGTGGTGCCTGGGAAGAGAACCAAAGGAGTGGATTTGGTCAGTCCTTTCGAGGAATTTAATGCAGGTTTCAAGCTCGAGAGTGACAGAGGAATCAAAGAACTCACCGCAGAGGGGCTTTGGATCTCGCAGCAGCAGTCATGCCGCAAGACAAACTCCACGGCTGGAAGGATTTCCCGAAGGGACTGCACGTACTCGTCGCGATTGCCGATGGTGACGACCGGGAGGAAATCAGTGGCATACTCCAATCCTGCAGCTATCGAGGTAGAGCGACGGGAAAAGAAAAACTCATCACTCCCTTCTCCTCTTTCTTCCCTGGGATGCTCTGCTCTGCTGCCTCTGACTCGTCTCCTTGTTTCTATCGTTTCCTGTTCCAACGTTTTCCCGGTGTCTCGTTCTCGTAATGCTGTCCCGGATCTGCGGAGAAATCGTAGCAAGCTCCTCCACACGGCGTCCCGCACTGCATACATTAACGTTGGCTTAAGTCTAAAAAATGATATGCCTGTGCAAAGAAAATCTCACGTACCTCTGGCCACGAAACCATCCTGTCTGTCTTGTGTGCATCGGGTAGCCAACTGAGTGAAAGAGGTCTTTGTCAGCTCTTTGTATGGTGGATTTACGGACAGCTTTTGTGCATGCGCAGTCACAGCCTTCACTAGCGAGGAGGATGCTCTCGCGGCGATTGAAAAGCCCAAGACCCCGTTCCATGCCGCAATGGTTGACGTAAGTTTGTGTTGCTTATGTCGATCCACTCACAATCGTCTTTTGATGTTCCAGGCAACCAATCGGGATATCTTCGATGGCTTCAAGGTGCTCGAGGCTGCAAAGGAGTTGGCCGTCATAAGTAAGCTGACAGAACTAGCGGGTTTTACCTCACACTGTTTGTGGTTCCTGCGACAGTGATTTCCAGCACAGAGGATATTGAAACCATGATGCGAGCAATATCTGTAAGTAGAAAACACCAGCAATTGCGTCAGATTTTCAATACTTGTTGAAACCAGCTCGGTGCCGCGGATTTCCTCCAAAAGCCTTTCTCCGAGGAGAAGCTGAAGAATATCTGGCAGCATGTTGCTCGGAAGGTCAGGATACAATTTCTGCAGAACCACCTCGCTCACATTTATCACCTTTCAGGCTATGCTTTCAACAAACAGCGAGCCAGCTTCCACAGTAGCCGACCACGAAGTTAAGCCCGAAACGCTTGACGATGGCGACCAAATCGAGAGCCAAATGCAATCGTTTGATGATCTGGGATGTATAATTGGGGAGTCATTTCACGAATGCGAAAAGTTCCCAGAAGTAGAGGAACCTGCAGCAACGGAAACCAAAGAAGGTTTTGACGTAAACGGTAAACTTTACGACTTAGAAAGAGAGTTCATGAGGTCGACGAACCTGGAGTTTTGCACAGCCGAAGGGACTTGTATAAAACTTGAGATTGACGACACGCTGGACGACTTGAACCTCGGAGATGGCATCGTTCTAGACGGGGAAGGAGCCACGGAGTTCGAGCTCGACCCTTCATTATTCGTTGGCTTTCCAGATTCTGACTCTGACTCTGCGCTGGATATCAACTTCGAAATGCTTGATTCCGGAGACACGCACGAGTCAGAATTTGACGGAGAAGAAGCGATGATGTTGGCTCAAGTCCTCAAAACCGAGGACGAAGTTGTACGTAACGTTTCGGAATCTTCAGAGTCCATGAGCAGCTCCACAAAGGAAAAGGGTGAAGAGGAGACCAAGCCCGAGAGAGCAGCAAAAAGCTGCAAATCTGCACCAGGAAGGAAGAAGATGAAGGTGAATCTGCTTCATACGTTAAAAAAAAATACATGTACAAACTAACGTCATTTTTCAGGTGGACTGGACACCGGAGTTGCATCAAAAGTTTGTACAGGCCGTAGAACAACTTGGCGTCGACAAAGCCATACCGTCCCGTATTCTGGAACACATGGGAGTCAAGTGTCTAACGAGGCATAACATTGCGAGCCATTTACAGGTAACTCCTGCAACAACATCATCAAAGATCAGCAAACTAACAGAGAGTGCATAAAAATCCCACCTTTTCAGAAGTACCGCTCGCACCGGAAACATCTTCTGCAACGAGAGGCCGAAGCAGCAGTAAACTGGAGCCATCGTCGACATTCCGATACCTGGTCTAAAAACCGGGCGCCAACCCAGTCACGTCAAACACCAATTTTGCCTGCACCACCACCCGGTGGAGTTCCATTGCTTGTGTGGGGGCATCCAACCATCGATCACTCTTCGGCTCATATGTGGCAACAGCAGCAACCACCTGTGACTCCTCCGCCATGGCAAGCACCGGACGGAACCTTGTGGCAACACCCTGCTGTAAGTTCCTCGGTCTTCGAACTTGAATGATCCAACTTGTGTGGAAACAGGTTTGCTTTCCTCCTTGGGGTCACGCACCAGCACCAGGAACACCAGTTTATCCCAACTGCATGGTCTGCTATAAACTTCGAGTTTTCCTTCTTAACCAGTACCTTGTTTCCTTTGTTTTCCGCAGAGAGTACCAGTCGCACCTGTGATTGCTGTGCCGCAACCCCCTGCACCTCCACTTCCAGGAGAAACTCTCAGCCCCCCGGCATGCCATCCGGTAATCTCTTCATTTTGCCCGGTAGCCTCTGCTGATAAAAGTTTCCACGTTGTTCTTTTCTTCCTGGTAAAGCCTCGGGAGGTCGTTGACGCTGTGATAAGTGAGGCCCTCACCAATCCCTGTACACTTCCGCTGGGACTAAAACCTCCTTCGATGGAAAGTGTGATGTCCGAGCTAGTGAAACAAGGAATCACCATAACACCTCCAACGCCTTCTTGACGAGCAAAACCTCTGAGGTTCAAAAAATCCGTCGACATATACTACTATCGTCGCTTTTTCCCTTCCCGTTTTCCCGTTTTTCGTTGAGGAGACCATGCTGTTCTGCAGAAACATCACTGAAAGCCTTGCAAAAGAGCTGAGGTTGTAAAAGTTCCAGTTTTGGCGTGGTGATGTACAGACCTGTACAAGAAATAAAAACACATTTGAGAGATTAAAAAAAAAAAACACACTTCGATTTCCTGCTAACTCAACTGGTTCCTTCATTCCAGCTTTCAGGTGGCGTCGATCTTTCTCTTTCTCTTCGCAGCACCAGGCCCTGCCAAACGCATTTATCAGAGTGACATACAAATCTGGAGAATTTCCGTCTCACCCGAGACTCCCTCCGTGTGTCCTTGGCAAAAGATTATTGAATTCGCTGCCAAGATCGTCCCTCTCACTGTTCCTGTCCACATCCAGACGAGGAAAAGCTTGCAAGAAAAAAGCAGTACAGAAAACATGAACTTACTTTAATCAGCCGCAGTAGCAAAGGTACTTTAAATCTCACGCCTCTTTGAGCCTGTCTTGGCTGCTACGCAAGAAAAGGTCCGCTCTGATCGCCAGCGAGAAAGTAATAAGCGAAAGCGAAAGCCTCGCGCAGGAATCGGGTCGCGTTCGTCTGAGCATGTTGATAAAGTTAAACAACTTTATTGACTTCCACTCCCTGCAAGCTATGTACAACTTTGGCCAAGGCTACGTTCCACCCATCCGTAATCCATCCATTCCCTGCTTTGATTTTGCTCTGCGAGGCGGATACTATCAGTACGTAACCTGTGTCGATTATTTCGATCCTCCTCCTGTCCCGTCCTGTGAGAAGCACTCCTACCCCCTACATTCTTCTCATGTCCCTTCACTGCTCTTGTTGGTATCAGACGCTGTCTTTGGGTGACCATCCAAATCATCCGGACCCGGCTTGGTCCCGCTGGTTTCCTGCTGAAAGGCCTTAAACATCCCCCCTGTGGAGATCGTGTCCACCTTGTTGGAGCCCGTCGCAATGTCGGCCAGAAACGAGCTGCCGCGGCTGGCATCCCCTTGAGCATCAATCCTCAAAGTTTTCGGGGCCCATAAAGACCCCTCTGGCCGCTTGGCCGGTCCCGCCCCTGCCACTGACTTCTCGTCCCTCATGTGCTTCCCCAGCGCCGTGTGAACATTCTGAGCGAGAACCTTTGCGGCTGCTGTTGCCGCGGTCGCGGCCATGCTCCCCCAAGGACTGTTGCTCCAGCCAGCCCAGCCGGGGAGATTCCATGGGCCCGTGCCATTGAAAAAGGCGTAGGGCCAAGCCGTCGTACCACCGCCACCCTCCCTGCACTCCTGGGCCGGGTTGGACACCGATGACCCGCAAGTCGAGTCGTCTCTGGAATCGTTGCTGCCTTCACTTGTGCTGCTCTGCTGCTGCTGAGACTGCCTTGAAGGATCCTCTTCAGTGCTGCGTGAAGTCGCGAACCCCCGGATGAAACCAAAACTTCCGCCTCTCCCGGCGTCGCTTGCTCGGCTAACCTTGCAGCTCGAATCCTGCTGCGGGAGCTTCGTCGCCAGCTTTCTCTCGGAGCTCTGCCCGGGATTCTGCTGAGGAGGAAGATCACTCCCGGCAGCGGCAGCAGCACCACCACCACCACCACCACCATTTTCCAATCGCCCGTTCTTGTTCTTCCGGCGCCCGGCACCCACTGGAACGTTTCTCAGAGTGCCCCCGGCTGTCCAGTACCTCTGGCAGTTCTTGCAAAAGTGTCGAGGCTGGTTGACGTTGTAGTTGTTGAAGTAGCAAAATTTGGTGTCGAGGCTATGGCAGCGGGGGCAGGACACGGGCTTCTCAGGTCTCTTGAGTGGCCTGCCGCTCCTTTTGTCCTCTTGCTCCTCCGGCCTCCTTGGCACCTCCGCTACACCGCCGCCGCGGCCACCGTGATCCTCCTCCTCCTCCTCCCTTTTCAAGGCTTTGTCATCGTCGCTGCCGCTGGTGCTGGCGGAGAAGCTCGCGATCTCTTCCGCGGTATTCGATATCACCTGTGATGTTTGTTTGCTCGCTAAAACTCGTAGATTTCCAAAAAGCACTTACCTCGGACTTCGCCAATTCAGCGGGCGACGCGGCTTGATCCTCGTCCGCCGGTGTCACGGACAGCGAAATCTTCATACCAAACAGCTTCACGGCGTGGGAGAGCTCCCGCTTGGCCGCGCTCTGCCCGCTTTCTTTCACCGCCATGACAAGAAGAAATCCGCCAATGCCAGAACCGGTGCCTAGCTCAGCGTATCTCCAAGAAAGATCGCCGCCTTACTTCTGGCAAGAATGCAAGTGGCGCGGCGCTGGGGATGGCGATTATGACGCACAGATCAGAAAAGATTGGGGAATTTGGGAGCAAGCGCACCTGGATTGACGAGATTGGCATGGATCGGAGCGAAATCGAAGCTGTGGGAGCGCACATTCCATCAAACCCTGACCAGAGGCCGCCGCGAGAGACGAGGCGAGAGCGAAGAAAGGAGATAAAAGAAAAACAGTGTTTTTAGGGTTTATAATAAGCTGTTTACTTCAAAATCGGCTTCTATGATTAGGACCATATCGCGACTGACGTGGCGCGCCAGCATTGGGTGCACAATAAAGTGACCACGAGGGCCTTTGCCTACGTGGCGGTAGCAAAATTTCGCCGGAAATCCTCTTCGTTGGTTTTCAAGGAGAAATCCACATCGTAGAAGATGATCTTTTTGGTCCGCCACGTAGAAAGGCCGGCTGCCACGTGACGCGTCATGGTAGGCAGAAAAGATATGCAAGTAAAAGACTCTTTTTGGTACTGGATAAGCACGGGCCACGTGATGAAAATTGATGGACGGCCGGGATGCTTGTAAAATCAAATCTGAGAAAGGTAAGTTTTATAACCTAATATTTTAATAGAAAGGTAGATAAAACTTTCACTATTTACCAATTCACGTATATTAAAAACCATTGCAGAATATTCTCATTCCAAAAATGCAAAAAAAATCCTATATAAATGAATATTCTCAAATAAATGCACAAGAGTGAGATACTCTCTATATAAAGGGAACTTCTCTCCATTTATTTTGTATTTGGAAAATCTTGAAATGCATTCCAAGGATTTTCCAAGAATGCTTGAAAACTTGACAATCATTCTTTCATTGGTCCAAAAACAATTTGAAAACACTAGGGCTACATATAAATGGAACAACTTTCATCATGGTTTATTTATAGAGTACAAAGTGGATAATTTTAAAGTATATAACATTTGGCATACCATTACAAAATCCATAAGTGTCTCCCTTTAATGCTTCTTTACAACCTAAGAACTTTAACTACTTCCCATCTTTCCAAAAGGATATGAGATGCAGGTGTACAATTATATATTATTATTAGTATAGTGGAGATTTGGTAGTTGTTGGATTGATTTCAATCTGAACCACTTGCATTATATATAATCTAGGGTTTTCTTGCTAATCCGATATACATATTTTATATTCCATACACTCTAAATTTTAGAAATTTATGTATTTATATTAAAATTAACATTTTTAAGAATTTAAAGTTAAAACACTTTTTATACTTTTATTCTATCAAAATTTTTATATTCTTGATTTTTTAATCCATATCCTATGGTCCAAAAAAACTAACTATGCAATCATTTATAGATTGTGGCTGTTATTATTGGTTAAATTGCTAAAGCTTGCCAAATGCTAAAGTACTAGTTGCATGTATCATCCTACATTTATATTTATGGATCAAGCATTCAGACATTTATTATTTTCATTAGTCAAGGATTATATAGACAAAACACCCCACCCTAAAGAAGTGTTCTATCCAAGAGATTTAGAAGTTTGAATGCTTGATCAATAGAGTTAATGAAAATGCATTGTGACTCAATGTGAGATTCTATTATTTTATATACCACAGCTACTATAGCATTTGACAAACTACAGTAATTTAAGTAACCACAATAGACTTTGTAAATGATAGGAGTGGGATGGCTAAAGCTACTGACCATTTCACAACAATGTTTTTGAGGATTTGAAACCTTTACTGATAATTGCCTCTAATAAAGTAGTCTTTTCTATTGAAAAATCTATGTGTTGACTAGTACACTATAAGGTTTATTGGAAGCTTGTCTTGAAACACCTTCATAAGCAAATAGTGTTCTTGAACACATATAAGTCTAAAAGTGTAGGGATGGTGGTTGGAATGCACTTAAGGAACAATTGCGAAGTCATAGCATCCAAACATGTATCCACTCGGATCATCATTTTCATCTCTATGTATGCAACAAGATTAGTTAGTGACTAATTATTATTGACTAATCACAAGTTCCCACCTCTTTCTCGATGACTCATTTTTGAAAAGGGGTATGGTTGTGTAAACAATTTAATCTGCCAATTTATAATATGTCTAAATCTTCCTGACGGGGTTGATTTCTTGCTCAAGGGAAGTTAGGCCTTTGGCCTTCTTCCTATATCCCTGCAGGCAGGGATGTATCATTCTTTTGTAAGCCGAGTGGTACTTAGAGTAGCAAGGGTGGCTAACTCTGTTAGTCATTTCCTTGTCAGCGACGGCTAAAGAGTGTCTGAGTCTTAATGTCTTTGAATATAGAGGAGAGGTTGTTCCATAACTCATTTCAGTCGGTGTGTTTCCCATATAGTGTGCTTTCCATTAACTTTTGAAGTTATTTCCTAAACGGTTTGCTACTTAAGCATGCATCGACGAGGACGTCAATCTTCCCCAAGGGGAGGAGAGTGACACGAATGTGACTTCGGGTATCGAAAGATACTTGTCGGCTAGTCCTTAGGAACACTCTTTCCTTATTGCCATGACAGTAGGAGGTCGGTATAATTAGTTCCTTTTATCATTCCCACTTGAGCTAATTAAAAAACTGGTCAATGACCTTGCACTTAAATTGGTAAACATAAGGTAAGAACTTTATGTGTTTCTTGCTGAGCATACTCGGCCTAGTTTAAGAAACTCGTGTCATTGGTTTGCACTTGCTAGTATCAAGAACCCCCTCAATATTAAGTCTAGTCTCTCAATATCATTATCATTTCGGTCCCAAGTGTTATTTATGGAAAGTGTCTAAATTCGCTTATTTGGCATATCTACGGAATGTAGAGATCGGCCTGAACACAATGGTGATAAGGTTTAAGCCTGGTAGATTGGATACCTTGTTAATATATTATTTTATTTATATTAATAAAAATGATAAAACTACATATTAATTTACAATACAAAATAAAAAATTTAATAAGTCAAATAAAATTCAGAATATCAGAATCTTAAAAGTATATTCTAGGTCTATTTAAGAACATACTACATATCCAATCTACCAAGCTTAAACCTTATCCCCAAAGGTTTTTCAGGGCCTTTATTCACTAAAACAAAGCTAATAGAAAGCAAGAGTGAATCACCACCCAAAACTCTTTAACAACTAAGCTAACTAAAGTTGAAGATACTTTACTTAGTGTCCAAGACCAATCCTCCAACAATACTCAGTTACAAATAACACATCATCAAGGAGTGATTCACCACATCCAAGATTTAATAAAATCCAACACCATAGACTAAATGTAACCAAATAATATCAACAGAGGTATAGCCAATATACCAACATAGAAAAAACCATGCAAGTCTAACAACATGATCCTCTACAACACTAACTAGCAAAACAAGCCTATCACTGATAAATCTTCATCGAGTGAAACAAGTGTTAACATTCCTTAACAAAGTCTACAAATAATCACTAGTCACAAAGCAACCACCAATTACTTTTCAACTTGCTTTCACAAGACCCAAACACTAAACTTATATCATCAAATCATATATTTGTCCAACATGAACATAATATCCTAGATATGAGATAAAGGTTCATAAACAAGCATAAGCTAAATGACCACTCGAATCCAACTCAATAAGCTCAGTAATGGATTTAACCATTAGCTCTAAGCATGTCTTGAAGAGGCTAGTTATACATGACCAACACTTTGTTGAAACTAAAGTGAAGATCATGAGATGGACTTATATCGGTACACAACCTCCTCATACACAAAGCTATAGTACGGGTACCAACATCTTAACCTCAAACAACTAAGTTGAACATTATCATCTTCAACCAAGGCGCAAAGCTACCAAGACTAAGTCTGAATCAATGAGAGTTCACTACTCTCATAAAGTTTAACAAAATTCAAGATGCAACTTGCCACCAAGTAAAATGCTATAAAAGAAAGGCACAAAAGTCACCCTTCTTAGAAGAGTACAACGATGTAAACTCTAGTGTGCTTACAACAGCTACTTTCTTACACCAACTCCAAACTCTATCCAATCAATTGCTTTAGCCTCAAAAGTCAACATCCCTTTTAGGTCATATCATATAAACTACTTACTAAAGTTTAAGCTAATTGAAGTCAACTCTAACCCTTTCACTAATTTGTAATGGTTTATGAAAACAAAATGGTTTTCAAGTAAAATGATAAATAGATTAGCCATTGGAAAAGTCTAGGAAAATTTGTGGAAAAAAAATTTTCATCCTAGAAAAAGAATGACTCTTAGTCTAGGAATGCAAACTCTCTAGACTCAACTAACTTCCTTATACCTACAACTTCACATAGGCTCACCTCAACACAAATTCTCATGACCCATAGTATGCTTAAGCACCTATATTTTTGATATCTAACACCGATATCCTCAAAATGCAAAATGAACATCCAAGGCTTGATCACGAAGACTATATCTTTGGACATCCATATTGCACTAACATTCTTTTTCAATCACCTACAAGATTCAATATGAAGCCAAAACATTAACAAAAAAAATGACATGGAAAATTAAGTTTTAAGGAAAATTTTTTCCATCTGACAATCTACTCCAAATACTAACAGATAAACCGATAAGCCATAGCAAATGAATGTTATAACCTTTTTCCAACAGCTCAATAGGCAAACTCAAGGAATCTAGGTACTGACTTAAGCTTAACATAATGGATCATCATCGAGAATCAAGTTAAAGCTACTACAATATTATTATATGTAAATAGATTAACTTCTCTATTAACCACTTTGGGGTTGATCATCGTTTAACTAAACAACTTTGTAAATGCATTACTCATTATCACATAGATATGATATAAAAAATCATAATGAATTGATCATCAATTGAGTAACACCACGAGTAGTGTTTATATCACTACTACAAAAGTCTATGTGAGTATCAAATGCCAACTCTATTCAACAAAATGCAACATAAATACCCACTGATAGAGATTTACAATACTTAACACTTCTAACTTTTGTTCACAAACTCATACCACTTTTTTTCTGACCAAATTCAAAACTAATCCAATACCAAACTACTCAAGGAGTAATAGCAAGGTTCTTCGAAAAAGAATTAAACATTGCAACCCAATTCTTCAATAGCAAATCTAGACAAAATGGTTTAACGCTCTACCACTATCCATCCCACAACTCACCATTTGTAAGACTATCATTTTCCACATGCATCAAGATAAGGACTCTTGATTGCATGATATGA